ATAAATACATATCTAAATATATATATCCACACGGATCCGTCCCTAGACACCCCCCCCCCCCTCCCCCCCCGCCTCCCCTGTGGCTACAAACCTCATGGCACGTTTTGCCGTGCGTAATCAATAGCCATCCCGCCCAATAGACGCCACCTTTGTAAGACGATTCAAATCTCGTCATGCCCGCCCCTCCTCGCCCAGCATACGTACTTCACACAAAAGCCCGTGGTTCTACAATAATCATTCACCGTTACCGTTCCCTCTCCAAACACCCCCATTACCGATAGAGTGCAAGCCGCGTCAGGCCAGCACACAGCAGCATCAACTTGGGCAAAGAAAACTTTAAAATGGCCCACCGTTTAATACCGGAACACCCCCCACTCCCCCACGGTTGGTGCTTCATCTACCCCTCTCTCTGTTCCCATATGTCGTTAAACGACACCGACTGCAAAATTCGTCATGGTGCCATTGTGCCTACATGAGAGAATGAGAAACAGACAAAAAAAATATATAGGATCGATCGCGCACCTACGACGCCAGGCACTTACTGCTGTGCTTGGAGGGAATCACGGTCAAACTCCTCCATTAGAAGCGACAACCAAACGCCGCGAACCAGCTGAGCGTCAGGGACAGGTCTGCTCTAATACCCTTCGTGCATGCAGACAATTCTGAGTCACCCCCGGTTCACATACACCATCGCGCAGCACCCAAAACAAAACGGCATGTTTTCGTACAGCCCTTCCCACAGGTAGCCCGCCCTTCGACCGATGCCATCCTCTCCCCTCCCCTCTCGAAACTCCGGACGAAACATTCTTATATTCCTCTACGCCCCCCACCCCCTCCGCTCAAAATCTCGGCTCGCAACACTTCTCTTCACTCTTTATCCAAGTAGCAAGTGCGAGCGACAGATCATGAAGCGACAGCGCGGCGTACCAATAGAGTGGGTCTCTTCCTCTCTCCACACCACCTACACATCATGTCTCCATATTCCCATCCCCACTCCCCCCCCCCCGCCGGCAACCGCCGGCAACACATCTCGTAACACGACAACGACGAACTTATCATTAGGTCTTACAGGATAGTGAAATAACGAAGCAAGCAACGCCTAACACGCCAAAACTACAATGCAAACAGGTAGAGAAAAAACGTGGCGAAAAAAAAAAAAAAAAGCATGACAAATCGAGCTACTGTACTCGCGATCGTTCCAGACCCCCAAGAGGAAAAGACAACAAACGTCGAATCGATTCGCCAGCCGACAAGGGATTTAAGGCCAACCAGGATATATATGAAAATTTAACTATGACTGCAAGAACGGATCGATCGATGCGGCGCTAACGTACAAAACACAGTCTTTAGTACAATTCTTGCGACTCCATTTTTCGTTGTTCGTCTCTCTATTTCTTGTTCCCTCCCTCCCGACCAAAGTATCTCGCCTGCAGCAGCTAAAACGGTGACAAGAGAACACTACGCCAGCCACGACTTGGAATCGAAAAGTTTTTATGGTTCCTATGCATATGGTACTCGATGCGTTCGCCTGTGCGCGAAATTCAATCGCCTTCACGAGAACGGTTTTCGAAGAGTGGGAAAATGACAAAAAAAAAGAACAAGAACACATGAAATAAGAAAAAAAGAAAACGAATGTCGCGTTCGGCGCACCCCCCGTACTCGAACTCCTCTGACGAACACAAAATCGACACGCAGAGAGCGAAACGGGTCAGACAGTCCCTTCCCGCCTCAAAGCACCTCACACCCATCATGGCAAGAGCTCGACGACAAAACAAGAGCTTCTTCCCTGCCTTGTTCGTGCCGCAGTCGACTGTCCAAAACGACCGAGAGGCGAGCTCCCACGGAAATACACTACCACCCTGGTACCACATGCATAGCTCATCTCGATCAAGCAACAACGACATTCCGACCACCCCGGCCGAGCGGTTTACACCGCTCCCGCCACCGGTGGCCTTAGCGCTCGCCCCCCCCAGAGAGAATAAATGCCATTTCAACACGCGACCGCGAGAACCGCCTCAAGAGCCAGCCCGCCGCCTAACCATACAAAAACAATTTGCACACGCACCCGCCCCCGAGTGCGACGCACAGCGAGTGTACGTTATCTTCCTTTTTCTTTTACTTAGCAGCAGCGGCAGGGCTGGTCGTCGAAGCGGCGGCGGCGGCGGCATCAGCAGCGGGCTTGGTCTCCCCTTCGTCCTCGTCGTCCGAAGAAACGAGGCCCACCGCTTCCGCAACCTTCTCGATGAAGCCGAACACGCCGCCCTTCTTCTCAGGGGACCCCTCCGCGCTAGCCGCCGCCTCAACGGCCGCAGCGTCAGGGGGCTGGACCGTCGACGACGGCGCTTCTCCGTCCTTCCCGGAGCCGAAAAGAATAGACGTCAGCATGTTTCCTTCGCCGCCGGCGGCGGCCGGTTCCCCCGCGCCGACGTCCATCGGTGGGGGTGCCGTGGCCGAGACTTCCATGTAGGTACCCGAGCTCCCCCCCCCGGGGGTCCACGCCGCCGCCGAAGCGTTCAGGCCAGAGGCCGTTCCGTCGCCGGCCTCCGTGGCGGCATCTTTGGGCGCTGCTCGGTCGGTCGGTTGATCGATCCATCAGTCATTGTGTCGGCATCGTGTCGTTGGACGGAGCGAAACATAAAACATAGGATGGGGAACATGGCGTCAGAAAAAGGAAGGAAGAAGATGCTGGTCGTACGTACTTGGGGGGTAGGCATCACTTGCACTTGGACGTAGACGTCGTTGGTCTTGGGTGTATTTATCTAGATGCAACACGGATGAAGTTAAGCGCGGCAAAGTAGTCTAGCACTTCATACAAAGCGCCGCATCCGAAGAGGGTTCTCATGCTTAACCTCCGAACGATGACACGCAACATCCCATGGACGGGTGGGGGCTACTGCTCACCCAACGCGTAGGTCGAGAGGACGCACCCCTATGCAGGCTTCTGCGAACTACAAGCCCCCCCCTCCCCCCCCCCCCCCCTCCTGGGGACCCAAAAATATCGCGGGCGCACTCTGATCGCACTCTCGTTCCTCCAAAAAAAAGACTCTGCCTGCGATCATTCCCCACCCACGGCTTGGCAGGACCGCCTTCGCGAGATGAATAAGTTTACGAGCAAGTACAACAGGGAGGGGGGACGCAGACCCTATTCCCTAACCACAACCCAACTTCCCCGATTCCATGCCTTATCCAACGTGTTTACTTAATCGACAAATCCTGCCAAGGCAAACTGGCTTGGCATCGCCCCTGCTGTACCTCCCTCCTTCCCTCCGCCTCTCCCTCCCTGCCTACCGCACTCACCGTCCGCAGTCTGTTCCTCGGGGAACTCGTAAGCATCCTCCTCGCGCTTCACACCGCCGCCTCCGAACAGATACCCGAACACGCCTCCGGACTTCTTGCGCTCCTTGATGCGGGGGGCGGGGGCGGGGGCCTCCGCCGCATCAGCGGGGCTAGGGGCCTCTACCCCGGAGGCAGCCGGCGGCTTGTCGTCTTCGGCGACGGGCACGCCGGCCGCGTCGAGAGCGGCCACGAGCTTCTTCTCGAAGCTCAAAGCGCTTCCCGGTGCGTCTGCGGCGAGCAGGGGTTGTTGTTGAATCAGGTTCGTTCCGGTTACAGCAGCAGCAGCAGCAGACACGGGGCGGCAGGGGGTGAGAGACAAGGCGCTCGTAGGACACGAGGACGTACATAGAACGGCGTAAGTGAACAAATAACTCGTTTAACGCGTGACGAAACAACAACAGCAGTCACAGATTCGAATCTCGTCGCAGAGACGCGGCGTCTGCAGCAGCTAGACGGATACAGGAAGCCACCGACACACCACAGCAATTCTTGCCACCGGCTTCAAGGGCAAACACGTTGCACCGTAAACAACGAACTAGCCACGCAAACTCTCGCCCAACAAAAACTTGTGTATCGTAAAACACGGCCGGCCTCTTCACGTCTCCTTATTTCACACCTGCGTCGGCCGCTACGCCGGCGGTGGTCCCAGGGTTAACCCCGGGAATACCAGTCGCCGCTCCTCCCTCGACCTCCCCGTACGCCGGCAGAGCGGCGCTGCCGCTCCCAACGTCGATGTCACCCTCGCTGACGGCACCGCCGTCGTCGACGGCTCCGAGAGCCGCGCCAAAGGCGGCCGACAGCCTGGAGCTATCGAGCCCCGAGGAATTGACAGCGTCGTCGCTGGGGGCGGACACGGACAGGGCCGGTGCGGAGGCGGACGCCTCTACGCCCGGCGCTGTTGGCGGTGAGGCGGCGGGGTAATAGGGGGGTCGGTAGAGGGGGTTATGGGGTTGGGGGGGGGGGGGGCAAGCACCAGTCAGCGGGTAGGCACCATTCGTGTGCCTGCCGGCCTTGAACCACAACAACATTCATATGTAACCGCTAAGAAGGAGTACGGGCGGAAACCCATAGAGAGGCAGCTACGCACGCGTGCCACATCAACCGGCTGCATCTAACGCTTCGCGCTTCTACAGGTGAAGGCTTCGGTTAACCTAACTCTACACCCGTCAGCTAGAAAACTCGTCACGATCAACAAACAAACGAAAATGAGCGCACGTCGAACCTTGTCGACGACACCCTCGCAACCCAGACACACAAAACACAATGAGCTCTTTACTACATCGAACAGCCACTGTGAAGCAGACATTGAATCCGCTCAAAGCTAATACCTTGCCAGTGAACCAACCAACCACCTCAAGCGCACGTTCAACTCACCAGCAACGTCGACCAACGGCGCTTCTCCCGAGGTTGCGGCAAAGATGCCCTCGGTCTCGCCGCCCACGTCAACCGAAACATCCGGGGCACCTATTGCGCGAGGGGGAGGGGGGGGAGAGGAGAGGGAAGGCCGGTGTACATGACGCACAGATTCACATTGGTTCGGAAATTCGTCCGTGGTGGAGTGGAGGTTTGAGCAACTCTTTGCCACGAAGGACAAGAACAACGCCAGCCTGGCAGCAAAAGGAAAAAAACGACGAGAAAAAAGTCACATGAGGAGCGACAGCGTACCTTCCACGGGCACGGGCACGGGCACGTCTGCAGTAAAGGAGGGCGCCTCCACATCGATGGCGCTGGCGGCGTCTACCTTGGGGAAAGAGCCGGCACCAGACTCGGAGGACTTGGGGGAGGAACTCTGCGCCCGGGGAAACAAACAGCGAGGTAGGAGAAAAACGCCAACAGTCGAGAGGAGGGGGGGGGGGGGCGCCAACGCGTGAGAAGCCACAAAGAAAGGGCCGATCGAGGTTCACAGCATCTTAGTGTATGCGCGGGCGCTAGATAAGCGCCCGCTGTTGCCTCTCGACGTCACGCACGCGTCACTCCTCCTCCTACCTAAAAAAGCCCGACCACCACCAAACCTCGAAAAAAGAACATTTTCCAAATTGTGGAATCCCCAAACTCACCAGCCTCTTCTTCATGTACCCGAAAGGCTTCAAGATCTTCGAGAAGCTACCCCGCTTGCTCCGCTTGGTCCCGCCGGGAGTCGTCGCCTCGAAGGAGCCCGTGGTAACGTTGGCGTCGAACTCGGGCAGGGAGTTGGGCTTGACGTCTCCCTCCGGCAGCTCGGCCGCCACTTCGCCCTCGGGCTTGTCGCCCGAAAGGCCAACCGCCGCGCCGATCGCACCCACAGCCGCCACACCACCGGCCGCCAGGCCAGCCGTCAGCGACGTGTCGCCACCCTCCACCTTCACGTCCGGCGCCGTCACGCTCACGTCGCCGGAGGGAAGCTCACCACCGACGCCTCCTTCCACAGAGGGCATCTTGCCTGCCAGGGGAGGCACCTCCACGGAGCCAGACGGCGCGTCCATGTTCACCGAAGGCACGTCCACAGAGCCAGACACCTCCGGCACAGACACGTCTCCACCCACATTAGGCACCTTCAGGGAGCCAGCAACGTCCGGCACAGACACATCGGCAGAAACACCAGGCAGGGACATGTCCCCACTCACGTCCGGCACAGACACGTCCCCGCTGACATCGGGCACCTTCAGGGAGCCAGCAACGTCCGGCACGGACACATCGGCCGACACACCAGGCAGGGACATTTCTCCGCTCACACCCGGTACCGACACGTCTCCGCTCACATCGGGCACCTTCAGGGAGCCAGAAACGTCCGGCACGGACACATCGGCCGACACACCAGGCAGGGACATATCTCCGCTGACATCGGGCACCTTCAGGGAGCCAGACACGTCCGGCACGGACACGTCTCCGCTCACATCGGGTACCTTCAGAGAGCCAGAGACGTCCGGCACGGAGACACCGGCAGAGACGTCCGGCACAGACACGTCGGCGCTGGCGTCCGGCATAGAGAGGCTGACGTTCGGCACGGAAACATCCCCGCTCACGTCAGCCGCAGAGACGTCCACGTCAAGCACGGAGACATCCCCCGAGACATCCGGCAAAGAGACACCTCCGCTAACATCCGGCAGAGCGGCGGTGGCGTCCGGCACTGTAACGTCGGCAGAAACATCCGGCACGGACAAGTCGGGTGCCGAGACGCTCAGGCCAGGTGCCGTCACTTCCCCGGAAACGTCGGGGATCGACGCCGTGACATCAGGCGCTGACACGGATGGCGCGTCCACGCCAGGCACCTGGATCCGAAACGTTGTGGTCGGGGGGAGGGGGGTTGAGGTTGAACAATCGGCATAAAAACCTGCAAGTACAGCTCGGAGCGAAAAGCAACATACTAGTACACGACTGGACGAGCGTTCTTCGAAAGAGCGGAAGTCTATCGAGAGGCGAAAAAACTAAGCGAGACACGCCAACGACAACAAGAAAAGGGAAATGATGAATCTGCACGGTGAATTTTCAGTGAGGGTCTGGCCAGCCAATTAATCCAAACAGGTGGATGGGGTCGCAGACCACAAAGAGGTCGGCCGCCACAAGGTGGCAGCTTTGGCATCCTACGAGCCCGTCGACCACACGGACAATCCCTTCGCCACGCACCTCAGCGTCCGGCTTGTCGCCCGAAAGGCCAACCGCCGCGCCGATCGCACCCACAGCCGCCACACCGCCGGCCGCCAGGCCAGCCGTCAGCGACGTGTCGCCGCCCTCCACCTTCACGTCCGGCGCCGTCACGCTCAAGTCGCCGGAGGGAAGCTCACCACCGACGCCTCCTTCCACGGAGGGTACATCGGGCACATCCGGCACCTAGTAGGCACGGACACAGAAGTCGGTGGTGGGGTGAGGGCTCTGAGTTAAGCTAGAGAGCAGGGGCGAATACGTCGCCGGCTCTGTAGACACGGCTCAGCCATTACCGTAAGCAGAACGCGGGACAAGTTCTGCTTTCGGGCTTGCTTGGAAACGATGCAGGTGAAGGCAGCACACGTATTGGTATAGCAGCTGTGCCCTAGGACAACCGCAGCAACCACGAACGAGAGATGACACTAGCATCAAGCTCTCTTTCTACACATACGGAAAATAACACAGGCACAAACCCGTTGGCGGAGTACCGATAAGACCAACCAGCAGGACAAAACACCGGGCCAACCATCCTGAACTCGATCCAACAGAATCGACCCCTACGTCGCAGGTCACCAATAGCAGTCCTCACCTCGACGCTGGTCTTGCCCGACGGCTTCTTGAACGACAGACCGCCGAACAGACCCTTCTTCGGCTTCTTCACCTCCACCGATGGCATGTCCGGGGCCTTGGCCGAGAGATCGCCCACCTTACCACCCACGTCTGTCTTCAAGTCGTCAACCTTGCCTCCCACGTCTGCCGACAGCTCGCCCACCTTAGCCCCGATATCGGCAGACAGGTCGCCCACGGACGGCATCGACGCGTCCACCTCTGCAGAGGGAACGTCTACCGATGCCGAGGGGAGAGAGGCGTCGGCGGTGACGGAGGGTACGTCCACGGAGGCGTCCATAGAAGGGGCCTCTACCGAAGCGGTGGGGAGGTCCACAGCGGCGTCTCCGCTGACGGAGGGCACGTCAATCGAAGTGTCCACCCCCGGAATCTGTAACAGAAACATATGGTACGACAAAGATGAGCGGCCTAGGCAATCGAGGGGGCAAGAAAAACGCTCGCAGAAGGGGCTCGGGTGTCTTCTCCGTATACCAAAGTGGCGCGAGAGCCACCAAGCCCGTCAAAACGGACACGATCCCGCAGTCAAGACCAAGCCACCGCACGATGGGAATCTTCGCCTACTGCTGCCAAAAAACATGCAGGGCCACTCCCTTACCTCCGGAGTCGACGTCTTGCCCTTCTTCATGAACGAAGGCTTTTTCAACCCGAACTTGCTCTTCTTCGGCTTCTTCACGTCCACGGATGGGATGTCGGGGGCGGTCAAGCTCGCATCCACCGAAGGGGCCTGCCGTGAAACGAAAAGACCGCGTACACACAGAAAATAGCTTTGGATTACTCCTGGCCTTAACCAATCCAACCTCTTTGACTGTCCGCACCTACCCGATCTCGGGCACGCTCCAACAACATGCGAAGCAAACTCGAAAGTCGGCATCGTCATTCGGTCTTACCTCGGCATCCGGCTTGTCGCCCGAAAGGCCAACCGCCGCGCCGATCGCACCCACAGCCGCCACACCGCCGGCCGCCAGGCCAGCCGTCAGCGACGTGTCGCCGCCCTCCACCTTCACGTCCGGCGCCGTCACGCTCACGTCGCCGGAGGGAAGCTCACCACCGACGCCTCCTTCCACGGAGGGCATCTTGCCCGCCAGGTCCACGGAAGGCACCTCCACGGAGCCGGACGGCGCGTCGATGTCCACCGAAGGCACGTCCACAGAGCCAGACACGTCCGGCACGGACACGTCTCCGCTCACGTCGGGCACCTTCAGAGAGCCGGCAACGTCCGGCACGGACACATCGGCGGAAACACCCGGCAGGGACACGTCCCCACCCACGTCCGGCACAGACACATCGCCGCTGACATCGGGCACCTTCAGGGAGCCAGCAACGTCCGGCACGGAGACATCGGCAGACACATCCGGCACGGAGACATCGGCAGATACATCTGGCACGGACACATCTCCACTCACGCCGGGCACCTTCAGAGAGCCAGAAAAGTCCGGCACAGACAAGTCCCCAGTCACATCGGGCACCTTCAGGGAGCCAGAAACGTCCGGCACAGACACATCGGCAGACACATCCGGCACGGACACGTCTCCGCTCACATCCGGCACGGAGACATCGCCGCTCACGTCCGGCGCCGAGATGGTCACGTCCGGGCCGGAGACATCGGCAGAAACGCCAGGCACAGACAGATCCGGAGCCTTGGCAGCGATGTCGTCAACCTTGGCCTCCAGGTCTGCCTTCAGGTCGCCCACCTTAGCCCCCACGTCCGCCGAGAGGTCATCCACAGACGGCAAGGAAGCACCCACTTCTCCGGATGGAGCGTCCACGGACACGTCGGGCACGGAAACCTCGGGCACAGTAGCATCAACGTCAGGGACCTGCGGGAGAGAGAGGAGGGGGCAGCGGAAAATCCACAAAACGTTTGCATGCAAACAGAGCAGGCGAGAGATAATGACCACGCGCTGCTTGTGCGGAACCAAAACGCTATTCTCCAATCAGACAAAAAAAAAAGGAAATTTCGCCAGAGGCGGTCACTCGAAGCGGTATCGAAAAATAGAATTACATATGATGAGGATACCGCGGCCACAAAACATGAACCCTCCACATGTACTCGATTTGTGGCAGCGCGGAAACGAGACGTATGCGTACCTCAATCTTGGCCTTGCTGGAGCCGAACAGACCACCGAACAAACCCTTCTTCGGCTTCTCCACCTCAACCGACGGCACATCAGGAACGGAAACACTAGCGTCCACGTCTCCGGAAGGAAGCTGACAGAGACATGAATTCCAAGAACACGTCGGACAAAAAGCGCAAAGGGCAAGTGAGCAACCACCATACACCGATACTTCAAGGAAACAGCAGGGCCAGCACATGCGTACAAACAATGCCGCGCCTTGCCGGGTCAAGCCTCCTTAACGCGGGACTGGCCACATGTATTGGCTTCCATACATCAAGGAGCTCAATTTTGTCGGGGTAAACGGGAGTTAGTGCGAGCGCTGACTTTTAAGTGACAAAAAAAAAACACATAACAGTCCGTCTCTCCCATAACGTTCAACAACTACCCGTTGGGTGAACTATATCCATTGGATCCCGGGTATTTCCACCGATCCCGCTTATATCAAAATAACGGGAAATTACTCAGGGCAACACGCCGAGCCAGACGAGTAAAATAAAACAACAACGCTTCATCACAGTATCATAATGACCAGTTCAGATCATACGGAGGATATTGACATGGTATTCAAACGCAAACAAACCCTGCAGCAGCCAACAATCTAATCTTTCGTGCAACATGTTGTGGAACAACGCCATTCGAAACACAGCACCAAAAGCCCTCCCCCTCACAGCTTTACATTCTGCGGCAGGCGCATTGTGCATCTCGACCCCCACATGATGAAAGGTTACTTCAACGCTGCTGCGATCACCAACCATTGCAACGCACCTCAGCGTCCGGCTTGTCGCCCGAAAGGCCAACCGCCGCGCCGATCGCACCCACAGCCGCCACACCACCGGCCGCCAGGCCAGCCGTCAGCGACGTGTTGCCGCCCTCCACCTTCACGTCCGGCGCCGTCACGCTCACGTCGCCGGAGGGAAGCTCACCACCGACGCCTCCTTCCACAGATGGTATCTTGCCCGCCAGGTCCACGGAAGGCACCTCCACGGAGCCGGACGGCGCGTCGATGTCCACCGAAGGCACGTCCACAGAGCCAGACACGTCCGGCACGGACACATCCGCAGAAACGTCGGGCACCTTCAAAGAGCCAGCAACGTCCGGCACGGACACATCGGCTGAAACACCCGGCAGAGACACGTCCCCACCCACGTCCGGCTCAGACACGTCTCCGCTGACATCGGGCACCTCCAGCGAGCCAGAAACGTCAGGCACAGACACATCGCCGGTCACATCGGGCACCTTCAGCGAGCCAGAAACGTCCGGCACGGACACGTCTCCGCTGACATCGGGCATCTTCAGAGAGCCAGAAACATCCGGCACGGACACATCGGCAGACACACCCGGCACAGACACATCTCCGCTGACATCGGGCACCTTCAGGGAGCCAGCAACGTCCGGAACGTCTACAGAGCCAGACACGCCAGGCAGAGACACGTCCCCGCTCATGTCGGGCACATCCACAGAGCCAGAAACACCCGGCACGGACACGTCGCCGCTCACATCGGGAACCTTGAGCGAGCCAGAAACGTCCGGCACGGAGACATCGGCAGGCACATCCGGCACAGCTACGTCTCCGCTAACATCGGGCACGGACGCACCAACATCCGGACCCTGTTCACATGGACGGGAAACAAACGGTTGTCCGGCGTAGCCGGTCAAAAGTATTTTGCGACGAACGTTGTTAAAAGAAAGTAGCGGAATAAGCAACCAACCAGGTAACAACCCGCATTGTGCCGACTGAAAAAAATTCCACTCCCTTGTTCAAGGCGAAACACGTGGACACAGGGTGCGTTAAAGCGAAGCCGTGTGCCACGATGTCGGGCATACCATGGACGAAACAACAACAGCTCAAACCGAAGCCACTTCCATAGTGAAATACCAGAATTCGCGACCTCCTCACCTCGACGCTGGTCTTGCCCGATGGCTTCTTGAACGACAGACCGCCGAACAGACCCTTCTTCGGCTTCTTCACCTCCACCGATGGCATGTCCGGGGCCTTGGCCGAGAGATCGCCCACCTTACCACCCACGTCTGTCTTCAAGTCGTCAACCTTGCCTCCCACGTCTGCCGACAGCTCGCCCACCTTAGCCCCGACATCGGCAGACAGGTCACCCACGGACGGCATCGACGCGTCCACCTCTGCAGAGGGAACGTCTACCGATGCCGAGGGGAGAGAGGCGTCCGCGGAGACGGAGGGTACGTCCACGGAGGCGTCCATAGAAGGGGCCTCTACCGAAGCGGTGGGGAGGTCCACAGCGGCGTCGCCGATGACGGAGGGCACGTCCACGGAGGCATCCACCCCCGGAATCTGTAACAGAAACATATGGTACGACAAAGATGAGCGGCCTAGGCAATCGAGGGGGCAAGAAAAACGCTCGCAGAAGGGGCTCGGGTGTCTTCTCCGTATACCAAAGTGGTGCGAGAGCCACCAAGCCCGTCAAAACGGACACGATCCCGCAGTCATGGCGAAGCGACCGCACGATGGGAATCTTCGCCTACTGCTGCCAAAAAACATGCAGGGCCGCTCCCTTACCTCCGGAGTCGACGTCTTGCCCTTCTTCATGAACGAAGGCTTTTTCAACCCGAACTTGCTCTTCTTCGGCTTCTTCACGTCCACGGATGGGATGTCGGGGGCGGTCAAGCTCGCATCCACCGAAGGGGTCTGCCGTGAAACGAACGTCCACGGAGACGCCAGCACGAATATGTAGGATTAGCGTTGCCGTCAACACTAGTACCCTCTTCTATTTTTCTGAGAAGGCGCCATGGTACCGGAGGAACTCGTGCTTCCATAAACCAAAACAAAAAGGCATAAAACGCCATTCGGTCTTACCTCAGCATCCGGCTTGTCACCCGAAAGGCCAACCGCCGCGCCGATCGCACCCACAGCCGCCACACCACCGGCCGCCAGGCCAGCCGTCAGCGACGTGTCGCCGCCCTCCACCTTCACGTCCGGCGCCGTCACGCTCACGTCGCCGGAGGGAAGCTCACCACCGACGCCTCCTTCCACAGAAGGCATCTTGCCCGCCAGGTCCACGGAAGGCACCTCCACGGAGCCGGACGGCGCGTCCATGTCCACCGAAGGCACGTCCACACCGCCTGCAATGAAGGAAACGCAACATTTGTCAATAGGAGAATCTGGCTGCATGTAAACTGAGATATAAGAGCGCAGCGGCCGGGGTGTTTGACCTACTTCAGCCGCAACAGACGGCAGCTCTACACCGAGCGACGGGGCGTCGACATCGACGGTAGGGGGATCGACGTCGATCGATGGCCTTTTTACCCGCAGACGGGATGTCAACCGCAACCGACCGATCAAACGCGTCAACTGACGGTACCTCCCCCGCAGAGCCGGCAATATCGCCGCCAGGTGAAGGCATATCAGGGGCCTGGAGGTCAACCTTCACGCCTACCGTGTATGACACAATATAACACACCCCCTTGACCGATTTTCAAAGCTCAATTTCTCAACAGCAGAAAGAGTCACAGCGCCGAAAACGGCGGCGTTGGAACCGTCTCGTCGAGAGCTGTTCGAAAACGTATTGTTTCGTTTATGCATCCTCTTCGTCGTGGAGTAATCGAGCTTTGAAAATCGGTCCAGGGGGTGTGTTATCTTGTGTCATATACGGTAAATGTGTAACCGGAAACGGGCGAATTTCCGGCAAAATGGTATAATCCGAGACCGCACGAGGCCTCGTGCTAGACCCACAACGGTAGCTTGAATCGTACAGTGTGACGCAACAACACCCAAGCCAGCACGCAACAGCAGAAAATGACGCGTTGCAACGTACAGCGCCCGCAAAACGCAAGCCACCAAAGAATGACCGCCACACACGTACAATGGAATATCGTGCAAAGGGCGAACAGGCCATGATCGTTGCCGGGTATGTTAGGGGGTAACCCGAGATGAGCATCTTGAGAGACACTGCCAGAGACATGCACGGACTCTACTCCAACCCAGACACTGCCCAAACGATGCCTGTTCGCTCGGTGCGCTGTTGACTACGTGCCAGGTCGATGTAACGTGAGGGGCACATGGCCTAGTTTGGGTGGCGCTGGGGACGTATGATCTCGGTTGGTGTTCGAGATCGTCTCTTGTTTTGCCAGATTCAGGTCTGGGCAACAAACAAGAGAGGCGCAAAGTACACACAAGACTTACTGGACACATCCACTGACGGCATGTCGGCGTCGACGGTAGGCATGGCTGCCGAAGCTTCCGCGCCGATCGAAGGCATCGCGACATCTACGCCAACGTCGGGCACAGCCACGTCCGACGCGGACACGTCCGGCACGGTGACATCAGCATCCGGGACCTGCAACAGCAAAAAAAAGAGGAATCGATCTGATCAGTGTAACATACACACCCAAGCGAAGTCCTCGGCCAACTCATCATCAAAGCCCTAAAAGGAAGACAAAAAAGCTTGCCAAAAGTCATCCTAAACAAAACTAGTTGTTCCTAGCATAAGAGTTAAAATTATTACGATAGCGTCGACGACTCGGAACGACAAAGACGATCCACGATAGCTTAATTCCAACGGTTGAGTCACAACCGTTCTACAGTACACGTTTATTTCTCACCTCGATGCTGGTCTTGCCCGACGGCTTCTTGAACGATAGACCGCCGAACAGACCCCTCTTCGGCTTCTTCACCTCCACCGATGACATGTCCGGGGCCTTGGCCGAGAGATCGCCCACCTTACCACCCACGTCTGCCTTCAAGTCGTCAACCTTGCCTCCCACGTCTGCCGACAGCTCGCCCACCTTAGCCCCGACATCGGCAGACAGGTCACCCACGGACGGCATCGACGCGTCCACCTCTGCATTGGGAACGTCTACCGATGCCGAGGGGAGAGAGGCGTCGGCGGTGACGGAGGGTACGTCCATGGAGGCATCCATAGACGGAGCCTCTACCGAGGCGGTGGGGAGGTCCACAGCGGCGTCTCCGCTGACGGAGGGCACGTCAACGCCCACATCAGGGAGCGAGCCAGATACACCGGGCATAGACACGTCACCAGAAACTTCCGGAAGTGATCCAGAGGCATCCGGAACAGACACGTCGCCAGACACGTCCGGCAGTGCCCCGGAGACATCGGGGACGGGCGCGTCGACAGTGACATCCGGTGCTGCGACGTCAACATCCGGCACCTGTGCCGGCACCACGTACACATGAGACATCGAGAGCATTAACGCCCGTCAGTGAATGTTACCTCCACGTCCGGTACAATTCGGCATACAACAAGGACATCGGCGGGTGACGTCAAAAACCTGGTCGCTGCAACAACTTTGGCCGGTTCGTCCCATGAAGATGCTTCGTACACGGGTTACAGCAGCGTGCCTAGCATAGCCAAGAGCGATACGTCAGACGAAAAAAAACTGTCTTTGCCAGAGACATCGACCGAACTCAAACTATGGTTATCTTACCTTGGCCTTCCCCTTGAGCGGAGGCTTCTTGAACGACAAGCCGCCGAAAAGACCTCTCTTAGGCTTCTTGACGTCCACCGAAGGCACATCAGGGACGGAGACACTGGCGTCCACGTCTCCAGAGGGAAGCTGAACAAGCAAAAAGAACAATGAGCAACATGGTCGAAACAAGGTATAATTAGCAAACTGAGCGTTTCGAAACCAACCCTCAAAAGGCCAACACATGCACCGAACCGGAAGCGCAACCTCGCGTGGCGGGGTCGAACGGGTGTCAATCATCGATGCATTCATGGAGAGATGTGCACGCGCTGCCACAACACAAAAAACAGAAGGCCCCAAACGTCACTCGGTCTCACTTCAGCATCTGGCTTGTCGCCCGAAAGGCCAACCGCCGCGCCGATCGCACCCACAGCCGCAACACCGCCGGCCGCCAGACCAGCCGTCAGCGACGTGTCGTCGCCCTCCACCTTCACGTCCGGCGCCGTCACGCTCACGTCGCCGGAGGGAAGCTCACCACCGACGCCTCCTTCCACAGAGGGCATCTTGCCCGCCAGGTCCACGGAAGGCACCTCCACGGAGCCAGACGGCGCGTCGATGTCCACCGAAGGCACGTCCATAGAGCCAGAAACGTCCGGCATAGACACCTCCCCGCTTACATCGGGCACCTTCAGCGAGCCAGAAACGTCCGGCACGGACACATCGGCAGACACGTCCGGCACAGACACATCGCCGGTCACGTCGGGCACCTTCAGGGAGCCAGCAACGTCCGGAACGTCTACAGAGCCAGACACGCCAGGCAGAGACACGTCCCCGCTCATGTCGGGCACATCCACCGAGCCAGAAACACCCGGCACGGACACGTCGCCGCTCACATCGGGAACCTTGAGCGAGCCAGAAACGTCCGGCACGGAGACATCGGCAGACACATCAGGCACAGATACGTCTCCGCTAACACCGGGCACGGACACATCGGCGGAGACTTCCGGTCCAGACACGTCTGGCAGAGAGCCGCTCACGTCCGGCACAGAAATATCTCCCACGTCGGGTACCTTGAGCGAGCCGGAAACGTCCGGCACGGACACATCGGCGGATACATCCGGCACTGTAGCGGTCACGTCCGGCACAGAAACATCGGCAGAAACATCCGGCACAGAGACGTCGGCATCCGGAACCTGTGGCGGGGACACCAAGAAGCGACGAATCGAGATTAAATCACGCACAATCCCCTAACACAGAACAACCAAATTTACAGGAGTCCAAGTCGTTAAGCACGAGCCAAACAACAAAAAGACATGAGCAATACACGAGCGCCGCCAATCAGATGCAGAACGCGCTGAAATGCCCTACGTATCCTGACGCACGTTCCAAGATATTTCTTGGTTTCGACATTGCGCGTATAGAGAAACCTGACATGCACGCTAGTGTGCTTGTTCTTGCTTGAGATAAAAAGAACTTCGTGCAACCTATACATAAAATAACTTCGTGCGACCTATGAAAACCGGAGTTCTGACGCAACCGGGTACCCGGCGTGCTCGTTGACGCTCCAAACTCTAGCTTACCTCGATCTTGGCCTTGGAGCCGAACAGACCACCGAACAGCCCCTTCTTGGGCTTCTTGACGTCCACCGAAGGCACATCAGGAAGGGAAACACTGGCGTCCACGTCACCGGAGGGAAGCTGCAAAAACAACGAGAGCAATCACAAGGTTTAGCTTCCACCGTGAAGGAAATATACTTCGCGAACTCGTTGACAAATGGGGGAAATACATTGCGTACATTTCGGATCCGAAACACGCCAAACGCCAAGCAGTATGCACGTCGTTCCTAGATACGATATAGGTGATACGATTCACCATCACAGCTGCAACGGGAGCATTAAAACGTATGGTTGTTCGGCAAGGTCTTGGAAAATTGGACAACATTTGGTCAGGCTGGTCGCCTCCTAAAATTCCACGGCCACTCAAACTGTAGCCAGGAGTGCCCAAACATGCTATCGTGCCCAAACACGCCATCATGCCCAAACACGTCATCATGCCGTAACCACCGCTCACATTTGGTGCACTACAGAAAACAACCATGCTCACGTACCTCAGCATCCGGCTTGTCGCCCGACAGACCAACCGCCGCGCCGATCGCACCCACAGCCGCCACACCGCCGGCCGCCAGGCCAGCCGTCAGCGACGTGTCGCCGCCCTCCACCTTCACGTCCGGCGCCGTCACGCTCACGTCGCCGGAGGGAAGCTCACCACCGACGCCTCCTTCCACAGAGGGCATCTTGCCCGCCAGGTCCACGGAAGGCACCTCCACGGAGCCGGACGGCGCGTCGATGTCCACCGAAGGCACGTCCACAGAGCCAGACACGTCCGGCACAGACACGTCGGCGCTTACATCGGGCACCTTCAGAGAGCCAGAAACGTCCGGCACGGACACGTCTCCGCTGACGTCGGGCACCTTCAGCGAGCCAGAAACGTCCGGCACGGACACGTCGCCGCTCACATCGGGCACATCCACAGAGCCAGACACGTCCGGCATGGACACATCGGCAGACACACCAGGCAGAGACACGTCTCCACTCACGTCAGGCAACTTCAGAGAGCCAGACACGTCCGGTACGGACAAGTCGCCGCTGACGTCCGGCACAGAGACGTCGGCGGAAACATCCGGCACCGACGCGTCTGCGGCCACGTCGGGCACAGCGACGTCGGCGTCCGGGACCTGTGGTAAGCCAGCAGAAAAACCAAGGGAAGCGACAAGCAAGATTAACTCAAGTACAGTGGACAGCCAAAGCCACGGCGGCCCCCCAAGTCATCCAAACTAGCAGGAACATAACCCAAACAAGCGAGCGGTCAAAAACAGGAAGCACGGACGGGGTGAAAGGACCCACACTGACGCACGTTTCAAGATGACTCCTTGTGTCGAACCCGCAGCAAGCCGACGAGTCTTGACACGCACAGCTTCCGCGTGAGATAACAAGCATTGGTGCAACCAAAACTGACCCCGAGTCCTAGCCAACAACCTCGGCCACCATTTATCGCACTTCGGTTGTGGAGACCACCTCCATAAAGGTACCATGTATCACCCCCGAGTCTGTCAAGGACGATTCCCTTTTTTCATCATGGCGTCGACAGGGACGTCAGAGGGTCTCCTTTGGGCTGCAAAAGACACGAGTTCAAAAACCGCTGCTTACCAAATTTTCTGACTGACAAGGGAAAAAACAAAAAACGGTGGGTGGGCCAAGAAGGACGCACTAGCTATCGAACTCGGAACTTCTGGTGACGTGGCAGGCGTACCGAACCCGTATAATCACGCACAGAGGATTGTGAAGAGAAGTGAATCGCGCCTCCCCTAGCCGGTCGGGTTCCGATTGCACCTAGAGGACTCCTCTTGCCTAGCAACAAGAAGTCTCGAAAAAAGGGGATGTAATGTGGAGAAGACCTTTCTTCATCAAGGTACTATCTCCCCAACGTTTGTCGAGGACGACTCCCTCTTTTCACAGTGAACTTTTGAGAAAAAGCTGAAGAATATTACCTCGATCTTGGCCTTGCTGGAGCCGAACAGACCACCGAACAGACCCTTTTTGGGCTTGTTGACGTCGACCGACGGCACGTCAGGGGCGGAAACACTTGCGTCCACATCTACCGATGGAAGCTGCAAAACGAGAGAAAAAAAAGTTTGGTTCTCACCGTCATCTGGATAATGCTTATGGACTTGTTGACACATGGGCGCGATGATTTGCAAATGACTCATTTTGAAAAAATGTTGACGAAAATTTATCCTAACATAAGCGTCAACGGGAATATTACTAAATGTGGCTGTTTCATAGGGCCGTTAAAGTTGCATAACATCTTGTAAAATACAGAAGACAACCATGCGCACACACCTCCGCGTCCGGCTTGTCGCCCGACAGGCCAACCGCCGCGCCGATCGCACCCACAGCTGCCACACCACCGGCCGCCAGGCCAGCCGTCAGCGACGTGTCGCCACCCTCCACCTTCACGTCCGGCGCCGTCACGCTCACGTCACCGGAGGGCATCTCGGGCATCTTGCCCGCCAGGTCCACGGAAGGCACCTCCACGGAGCCGGACGGCGCGTCGATGTCCACCGAAGGCACATCCACAGAGCCAGACACGTCCGGCACGGACACGTCTGGTACGGACACGTCTGGTACGGACACGTCTCCGCTCACATCAGGCACCTTGAGGGAGCCAGAGACATCTGGCACGGAGACATCGGCAGACACGTCCGGCACGGACACAGCGGCAGACACATCCGGTACGGACACGTCTCCGCTAACATCCGGGGCGGAGACATCGGCGGAAACATCCGGCACCGACACGTCGGCAGACACATCAGGCACAGAGACGTCCGCGTCCGGGACCTGCGGCGAGCCGGCAAGTCAACAAGTTGAGCGACGCATCGAGATTAACGCATGTACAAACCCAAAAGATGTAAGCAAGACGTCGACAGGCAAGAGCGGGGTGATTCGTGCTCAAGTACAACCTTGTTTTCACGAGGATGGTGGCTCGCACAATGTACAAGATAAGGAGGGGTATCAACCTTAAGGACACTTCCCGGATCAGGGACACCTGTTTAAAAACGAAAAAACATGCGTGTCCTTATGTGAGGGCCCACTGTACGAAGAAGGATTGGTTGTCGTTGTGTGTGTTGTTGCTGATCTTGCGCCGCTTCTCTTGTCCCTGTCGGAAGATGAACCACGGGTCGCTCGCTCTCTACAACGTTCACGGAAGTAGGAGTGATTCGTACTCAAATACCCCAACGATTCAAAGAACCTAGTTAAGATTATGGTACCCACCGACAGATACAAGACGATGCCGGTGTAAGAAACCGGAATCAAGCCCTACACGATTTCCACGTCAAAGACACCGCGTGATGGCCATAGACTCTCGTACTTTGTACCCATGTTGTCGATCGGAAATCAGCAAAAAAAAAAAACGGCAAATTCTGACGGTGTTTGTGTCCCATTACAAATGCCATGGAAAAACTGTCACTATGCCTGGCGGATTCCACCAACCAAATTAAGTACAATCTTTCGTGGATTGGTTTTTCCCGCATGGCACTTGCTTACCTCGATCTTTCCCTTGCTGGAGCCGAAAATGCTGCCAAACAGACCCTTCTTCGGCTTCTTCACCTCCACAGAAGGCACTTCCGGGGCCTTGGCCGAGATGTCCCCCATCTTAGCACTCAGGTCCGCCTTCAAATCGCCAACCTTAGACCCCACGTCAGCAGACAGGTCACCCACGGACGGCACCGACGCGTCCACCTCTGCAGAGGGAACGTCTACCGATGCCGAGGGGAGAGAGGCGTCGGCGGAGACGGAGGGTACGTCCAAGGACGCGTCGAATAGCGGGAGGTCTCCCGAGACACCAGGCACCTCCACAGAGGCGTCGCCGCTTACGGAGGGCACGTCAACGCCCACATCCGGCAGCGAGCCAGAGACACCGGGCACGGACACGTCACCAGAAACTTCCGGAAGTGATCCTGAGACATCAGGCACAGACACATCGCCCGACACATCCGGCAGTGCTCCGGAGACATCTGGGACGGACGCATCGACAGACGCGTCCGGGACCGACGCAGAGACATCAGGGAGAGCACCAGACACGTCCGGCGCCGTGATGCTCACATCGGGCACAGACACCTCGCCAGACACATCCGGCAGGGATCCGCTCACGTCGACCGCAGGCGCATCCACAGCGACGTCCGGAGCTGCGACATCAACATCCGGGACCTGCAAGAGCAGCAAGGACAACACAGGCAGACCACGTCATCAGCGGGAAATAGATCTGCATCGTGCATCGGCCTCACCAATGCCTCGACGAAAACTAAGCAAAAGTAGACTTGCAAGTCGTAAGGGACAAAGAGCGCGTTTGCCAGACATCGACCGAACTCAAATAAACGGTATCTAACCTTGGCCTTCCCCTTGAGTGAAGGCTTCTTGAACGAAAGGCCGCCGAACAGCCCCTTCTTGGGCTTCTTCACGTCCACCGAAGGCACATCAGGGACGGAGACACTCGCGTCCACGTCTCCGGAAGGAAGCTGGAACAAAAAACAAAACCCCAGCGGTCACCATGGAGACACGACGGTTGACGAAAGAAATCGCTTCACGACCACCAAGCCCAATCGCGGCTAGCGCTCTGCGAATCAATGCGAACCAACGCTGTGCGAAATCTTCACCAGCTGGCCGAAAACCACGCAACTCAAACGGCAATTTATGCAACACAAAAACTACACACACTGTAAACACATGTGCACGCAACTCGAAGACCACTGTTTCACAAACTCGAGACAACAGCGGCACAACTGGCGAAAGGGTCACCGTGGTACTACAGAAAACAACCATGCGTACATATGCATACCTCAGCATCCGGCTTGTCACCCGAAAGGCCAACCGCCGCGCCGATCGCACCCACAGCCGCCACACCACCGGCCGCCAGGCCGGCCGTCAGCGACGTGTCGCCGCCCTCCACCTTCACGTCCGGCGCCGTCACGCTCACGTCGCCGGAGGGAAGCTCACCACCGACGCCTCCTTCCACAGAGGGCATCTTGCCCGCCAGGTCCACGGAAGGCACCTCCACGGAGCCAGACGGCGCGTCCATGTCCACCGAAGGCATGTCCACAGAGCCTGACACCTCCGGCATAGACACGTCTCCACCCACATAAGGCACCTTCAGGGAGCCAGAAACGTCCGGCACGGACACGTCTCCGCTTACATCGGGCACCTTCAGCGAGCCAGAAACGTCCGGCACGGACACGTCTCCGCTGACATCAGGCATCTTCAGGGAGCCAGAAACGTCCGGCACGGACACGTCTCCGCTGACCTCGGGCACCTTCAGGGAGCCAGAAACATCAGGCACGGAGACATCGGCAGACACACCAGGCAGGGACACGTCTCCGCTCACGTCCGGTACGGAGACATCGGCGGAAACATCCGGCACAGAAATGCCAGCCGCCACGTCAGGCACAGACACGCTCACGTCCGGCACGGACACGTCTCCGCTCACATCAGGCGCAGAGACACTCACGTCAGGCACGGACACACCGGCGGAAACATCCGGCACAGAAACGTCGGCATCCGGGACCTGCGGCAGCAAATGAACAAATTTAACACGAGTGAGCGACTCATCAACTTGACTCATGCACTTATAGTTTCGCCCATGATGAAAAAAGGCAAAAATCACGGTTGCCTCCGTCGACGAACGTAAAACAGAACGCCAAGTAAAGTTTTAGTTGCTAAACCCGGGCGGTGAAGCGGCAAGTGAAAACTTTCCATCAATATGTCTTCGGGAGTGTTGCGTCATCTAACGGGACACCGCAAAACACATCCGTGTCCTGTGCAATTTCTAGCCGGAAGGCGAGGCCTGGTCTCAACATTTAGTCAGTGTGACACCGGTAGTTAGACAGACCATTGCATCAATACGCCATCACGTACATACGAGTTTTAAATGGTCATCACGAACATATCGGTGGATCTCACTAACACAACAAAAGTTGCTGAAAGAGAACAGCGAAGAACACGCCAAGAAAAAAAATCGACAGCAGCAATCCAGAGTCCCTTCGCGCAAAGCAACCCTACCTGCCACCTCCAACATAACAAGCCATCTTTGCCTTCTGTAGGCAATAACATATTCAGCAAAACGTTCCAATGGACGTTGTAAGCTGGAGCTTACCTCGATCTTCCCCTTGCTGGAGCCGAACAGGCCACCGAACAGACCCTTCTTGGGCTTCTTGACGTCCACCGAAGGCACATCAGGAACCGAGACGCTGGCGTCCACGTCTCCAGAGGGAAGCTGAACCAACAGAAACATCGGGCACAGGGATAAAAGCGTGTGTCGTGGTGCGGCTTACTGAAGACCAGCGTCATGAGCTTAGCAAAACATGAGCAAACCTACCAAATTAAAAACGACCAGAGCAGCACCATACCCGCTGCTAAGCCTCGCGAGCAACCACGAGCTTCGACCCAAACGAACATGATGGATTGCACATATTGCTCACACTGCGGCCCACCTATTTTACAGTATTTTAAAACGAAATAAAAAAAGGGGGCGGCGTGCGCAAAAAAAAACTACATTAACGCCCATTCCTCACCGTCAAAACCGGTTGCATCAAGAGCACGAGCGCAATACCGCTTCCATTAGACTACCTCTCCAATTGGCCCTTGGAACGTAAGTAATAGTGCACGCCAACCGTCACCTTCCGTTGGGAAAAAACACAACTGCCCGGAATCAAAGCTGAAAGCCCACTCACTATCATCCCGTGCCCATCGATGTCACCAAGTTTACTGCAAAACCGCACGATCATCCAAACGCACCTCAGCGTCCGGCTTGTCGCCCGACAGACCAACCGCCGCGCCGATCGCACCCACAGCCGCCACACCACCGGCCGCCAGGCCGGCCGTCAGCGACGTGTCGCCGCCCTCCACCTTCACGTCCGGCGCCGTCACGCTCACGTCGCCGGAGGGAAGCTCACCGCTGACACCTCCTTCCACAGAGGGCATCTTGCCCGCCAGGTCCACGGAAGGCACCTCCACGGAGCCGGACGGCGCGTTAATGTCCACCGAAGGCACGTCCACGCCACCTGGAAAGACGGACATCGCATGCATACTTGTGAGCGCCATCTACTGTGCGGACGATTATAATTTTGCCAAACGCAGCGGTCGCGCGGTCCATCCACGTTTCTTAACACCGAGTAACTACCCGCGGGATCGGTTTTCGCTAGCAACAGCGAGTACGGCGAGAGGGTCGGCCGCAAGGGGGGCGCGGGGGAACAAATACTTCGCGGTCGATTGATCGTCTTGTCGGTAGAGCTGTCCGGTGCAGCGGGCGTTTCCGTCGGAGCTCACCCGACAAGTCAGCCGCAACAGACGGCACCTCTACACCCAGCGACGGAGCGCTAGCGTCGACGTCGACCGACGGCACTGCCGCGTCCATCGTGCCCGACGGCAGGTCTACATCCAGCGAAGGAGCATCGACGTCAACGGACGGTACTTCCACATCCACTGACGGGGCGCTAGCCTCGACAGACGGAACGTCCATCTCGACCGACGGCACTCCCGCACCCACCGTGCCCGACGGCAGGTCTACACCCAGCGAAGGAGCATCGACGTCAACGGACGGTACTTCAACATCCACTGACGGGGCGCTAGCCTCGACAGACGGAACGTCCATCTCGACCGACGGCACTCCCGCACCCACCGTGCCCGACGGCAGGTCTACACCCAGCGAAGGAGCATCGACGTCAACGGACGGTACTTCAACATCCACTGACGGGGCACTAGCCTCGACAGACGGAACGTCGACGTCGACCGACGGCACTCCCGCATCCAACGTGCCCGACGGCACGTCTACACCCAGCGAAGGGGCATCGACGTCAACGGACGGTACTTCCGCATCCACTGACGGGGCGCTAGCCTCGACAGACGGAACGTCGACGTCGACCGACGGCACTGCCGCATCCAACGTGCCCGACGGCAGGTTTACACCCAGCGAAGGGGCATCGACGTCAACGGACGGTACTTCTACACCCAGCGATGGGGTGCCGACATCGACCGCAGGGGCATCGATGTCGATCGATGGCTTGGCACCCACAGAAGGGATGTCAACCGCAACCGACGGCACACTCGTGTCAACAGACGGCAACTCCGGCGCAGAGCCGGAAATTTCCCCGCTAGGGCGAGGTAATTCAGGTACCTCGACGCCTACAACAACGGTAAGGATTGGCAGACGGATTATGTGACAAGGTGACGAAGGGCGATATTGTACATGGTTTCGATGAAAATTCCCTGATGGCAAAATCGAGGGTAGCGTCGTGATGGCAAACAGTGTGCCCTAGCCGTCAACACGCAACGCGTGAGTCAACAAAAACCGCAACAAAAATAACAACCAACGCACACTGCAGACCACCGAAAAAACAGCACGATCGGTGGGAAACAGACAGCGCAGTATCCTTCGGCTGGTACAGTCTGCAAAATAGGCAACCTCGCGTTGTTGGCGGTGCTTAGCGCGCATTCTACTATTCTGACTGGAAATGTGCGAGGCTCGAGAGCATGCTCCACAATGTTTTTATTTTAGTCTTTCTACCTCGCCCCCCACGAAAAACGGAAAAAACACCGTCACCGCGAGCGCAAAAAAGTGGCATGTTCACCATGCGTGGGTCCGACGGCCACACCGGATTCATGCCACACCCCCTCCCCTTCTGTCGGACATGTTCACCCAACAGAACGGCAATATACTGTACCCGTCTGGATTCCCATCCCGCCCGGAAACATGACTTACCCGACACGTCGACCGACGGAATCTTGCCGTCGATCGAAGGCGCCGCGGCAGAGGCGTCTCCGCTGATCGAGGGCACGCTAACGTCGGGCGCCGACAGTTCACCGGAAACCTCGGGCAGCTTGGCGTCAATGTCCGGCACGGACACGTCCACGGAAGCGTCCGGCACCGACACATCTCCAGAAACATCAGGCACAGCGACATCGGCATCTGGGACCTGTGGCAGAGTTGACAAAAGCGTTTGAGTGGCGCGCTCAGGAACAGGCCACGTGTATGCATATGCACAACATAGAGCGACGCAACATGGAGCCACAACGGGCATCGATGACCTCGCACAGACCACAGGAACGTGTCATGATTGCTGGACGCCGTCGGCGTAAGATCGCCATAAAAACCCGGGCGGGTCCGAGACAAAATAGACAGTCCTCGAACTCAGTTCTTCCCTACAATTGCAACACGTCACGACCACAAACACGACAAAACTAACCTTGAGCTTCTTGCCGGAGAGCTTCTTGAAGGATAGCCCGAACAGACCCTTCCTGGGCTTCAGTATCTCCGAAGAAGGCGCCTTCGCGTCGACATCATCCATCTTCACATCAATGTCCGCCGAGACGTCGCCAACTGACGGCATGACCGCGTCCACCTCAGCGTCCGGCTTGTCGCCCGACAGGCCAACTGCCGCGCCGATCGCGCCCACGGCCGCCACACCACCGGCCGCCAGGCCAGCCGTCAGCGACGTGTCGCCGCCCTCCACCTTCACGTCCGGCGCGGTCACGCTCACGTCGCCGGAGGAAAGCTCACCACCGACGCCTCCTTCCACAGAGGGCATCTTGCCTGCCAGGTCCACGGAAGGCACCTCCACGGAGCCGGACGGCGCGTCCATCTCCACCGAAGGCACGTCCACAGAGCCTGACACCTCCGGCACAGACACGGCTCCGCTGACGTCGGGCACCTTCAGGGAGCCAGAAACGTCCGGCACGGACACGTCGGCGCTGACGTCGGGCACCTTCAGCGAGCCAGAAACGTCCGGCACGGACACGTCTCCGCTGACATCGGGCACCTTCAGGGAGCCAGAAACGTCCGGCCCGGACACATCGCCGCTTAAGTCCGGCCCGGACACATCTCCACTAATGCCGGGCACGGACACGTCTCCGCCCATATCCGGCACCGTGACGGTCACGTCCGGCGCGGACACGTCGGCATCCGGGACCTGTAGGCAAGTCAACAACATCACCAAACAAAGCCAAAACGGCGTGCCAAAATGAATTTGGCTCCAAATGACACACGGCTAGACGAGCACGAGCTTGTCGTGAATTGAAACATCGAAAATGCCGAGAAGGCGCTATTTAATCCTTTCCGATTGGTGTTGGCTACGCAGAGCAAAGAAGGTGTGCATGCACACGTCCCGGGCGTTGAGAAGGGATTGGGCATTTAACGTCGCTTCGGGTGTCGCGAATGGACTGAACTGTGAATGGCGAACAAAGCTGAAGACGACCTTCCTCCCAGAGGAACAAAAACAGCCCAGAGTCTGGGCTAATTTGTGTCTATGGAAAAACAGCAATGCTGTTGCACAAACGAGGCAACCTCGCCGCCAGGCGGTATCAAAAACCCTTGAACAGACGACGCTTACCTCTATCTTGGCCTTGGAGCCGAAGAGGCCACCGAACAGACCCTTCTTGGGCTTTTTGACGTCCACTGACGCATCAGGGACGGAAACACTGGCGTCCAAGTCTCCAGAGGGGAGCTGGAATTCAATAAATGCAATCGGAGGTATTCGTGGAAAATACTATCGTCATCGCATTCTAAACACCGCCATGGTTTGAACCAAAAAGCAGACGATCGGAAACTAGTTTAAAAGCAGTAATAGAGGCAAGCAAGCCATACCGACGAAATTAACAACGTGTGGCTGGTTCACCGAACCATGCAAAGCGCGTCGCCCCCTGCCGTACCAACTGTCTTTGCAGACACAGGCTGGGACTATGCCAACAATGAATCCATACATCGATTGCGACATCGGCCAAGCAACACCAGAAACTAGTCACACACGACGAGACTAGGATGATAAGAGCAAGCGCTCCACCGGGCGTGACAGTTCAACAAAGATGACACAAACAGAAGCTGAAGCACCGTCCACTTGCACGCCACGTAGCACCCATCGATGACATTTGGTACTCTACATAAAAGAAGTCAGTACAACGCACCTCAGCGTCCGGCTTGTCGCCCGAAAGGCCAACCGCCGCGCCGATCGCGCCCACAGCCGCCACACCACCGGCCGCCAGGCCAGCCGCCAGCGACGTGTCACCGCCCTCCACCTTCACGTCCGGCGCTGTCACGCTCACGTTACCAGAAGGAAGCTCACCACCGACGCCTCCTTCCACAGAGGGCATCTTGCCTGCCAGGTCCACGGAAGGCACCTCAACGGAGCCGGACGGCGCGTCGATGTCCACCGAAGGCACATCCACAGAGCCAGACACACCCGGCACAGACACCTCGCCGCTCACATCGGGCACCTTCAGGGAGCCAGCAACGTCCGGGACGTCTACAGAGCCGGACACGCCAGGCACAGACACGTCCCCGCTAACGTCGGGCACATCCACAGACCCAGAAACGTCCGGGACGGAGACATCGGCGGAAACATCCGGCACAGACACGTCCGCGCTGACTTCAGGCACAGAAACATCGGCGTCCGGGACCTGGCACGGCGAACAAACGAAGCACGATTGAGTCACTCATCTGAAATAAACTCATCCATGGTACTACGTGACAACGCTGCACAATGACGCAACCAATCACTGCCTCGTTCGCAAACCCAAGCAAAACAAGCTTGGCAATCGCGAGGCGCAGCAGGAGCGCAAAGAAAACAATGTGTCGAATCCATCTGCACGCTCGTGGTGAAGTGGCACAGCACGCTTCAGCTTTGGTTGTCGCTATTGGTAGAGGTAAGGTCACGCCTACACCAGCGCATAAGGGCTCTATTTCGATGTGGCGGGGACCGGTTTATCGCCGATGGTTGGGACGTGCTACGTTTCAACACGCGTTCTCCCTCTCAATACCACACGTTGCGTCAATACGTACAAGATTGTCATGCCTTCAAGGGCTATGAAAGCTGAAACTAACCATTCACATGTCACTCACTTGATAGTCTAGAGCTGCGAATCAACGGTGGTGCATAACAAGCACTCGGAACGGGACAAAATGCACAACCATTCACCACAACCGTTTGGTGGCATGGACTTCGACAAGCTCAAGCTCACCTCGACCTTTGCTTTGCCCGAGCCGAAAAGACCACCGAAAAGACCCTTCTTGGGCTTCTTCACGTCCACCGAAGGCACGTCAGGGACGGAAACACTGGCGTCCACGTCTCCGGAGGGAAGCTGTAAAACGTGACACAAACACAGCAATCAAAACATCGGTCGTAAACGGTGAAAAAACGGCAAGTATCGTAATACACGGAAACAGAGCGTCGGTCTCGGTGTAGGAGTACCACCTGGATGGAGACTAACGACAGCGGAGCAACACATGCTATTTGGCACGTTTCACCAATGGCAACGGAAGGTGTTCAGGCACACAAACATGAGGGACTCCAAACGCGAGCAACGACTTCGCGTTCGGGCGCCATGCGCAACAGCAAGACCGTTACCCTTACAATCACGACAACACCAACGCTCAACACGGAGTACTTAAAAAAAAGCGCATGTCATCCAAACGCACCTCAGCGTCCGGCTTGTCGCCCGACAGGCCAACCGCCGCGCCGATCGCACCCACAGCCGCCACACCACCGGCCGCCAGGCCGGCCGTCAGCGACGTGTCGCCGCCCTCCACCTTCACGTCCGGCGCCGTCACGCTCACGTCGCCGGAGGGAAGCTCACCACCGACGCCTCCTTCCACAGAGGGCATCTTGCCCGCCAGGTCCACGGAAGGCGCTTCGGCAGAGCCGAGCGGCACGTCCATGTCCACCGAGGGTACCTTGACCGAGCCAGACACGTCCGGCACGGACACATCTCCGCTCACTTGGGGCATCTTCACAGAGCCAGTAACGTCAGGCACGGAGACATCGGCAGACACATTCGGCACAGACACGTCCCCGCTAACGTCCGGCACGGAGACATCGGCGGAAACATCCGGCACAGACACGTCCGCGCTGACCTCAGGCACAGAAACATCGGCGTCCGGGACCTGGCACAAAGACCAAACGTGGCGCGATTGAGCAACTCATCTTCAATAAACAAACAATCTAGGAATCACAAAACAACACTGCATGATGACACAACCAACTACCGCCTGGTTCCGAGAAACCACAGAAACACACAGCAAACGAATTTCGCCAACGCGAGACGCGGCAGGAGCGCAAAGAAAAACACAGTTGTCGAATTCATCTCCATACTCGTGGTGAAGTGGCACAGCGCGCTTCAGCTTTGGTTGCCGCTATTGGGAGGAGTAAGGTCACGCCTACACGAGTGCAGCATGGCTCGTTCATCGAAAGCACCAATCGGGGCTTTATGCGAATCGCGGGAAACGGTTTATCGCCGATGGTTAGGACGTGCTACACGTCAACGCGCATTTTCGGTCTCTTTACCAGACGTTACATAAAATTGAACAGATTTGTCACGCGGTCAAAGGTCATGAAAGCTGAAAGGAAACCATCCACGTGTAAAACACTTGATAGTCTGGACCTCATGCGAAACAGCGATGGCGCACGATCAACACTCAGAACGGAACAAAATGGACAAGTCATTCACCACAGCCACGTGTATCCTGGGCGTCACTTCGACAAGCTCAAGCTCACCTCGACCTTTGCCTTGCCCGAGCCGAAAAGACCACCAAACATACCCTTCTTGGGCTTCTTTACGTCCACCGAAGGCACGTCAGGGACGGAAACACTGGCGTCCACGTCTCCGGAGGGAAGCTGTAAAACATGACACAAAAAAAGCAATCAAAAACGTGAGTCCTGCACGGTGCAACATGAAGAAATTTCGTGGTACACGGACACGGAGCGTGTCATGTTCTAACCAAGCCACCGGTGTAGGAGTACCACCTGAATGAAAAAATAACTAAACCAGAGCAACACGTGCTATTTAGCACGTTTCACCAATGGCAACGGAAGGTGTTCAGGCACACAAACATGAGGGACTCCAAACGCGAGCAACGATTTCGCGTTTGGTGTTCATTCGCAACAGCAAGACCGTTACCCGTACCATCACGACAACACCAACGCTCAACACGGAGTACTAAAAAAGCGCATGTCATCCAAACGCACCTCAGCGTCCGGCTTGTCGCCCGACAGGCCAACCGCCGCGCCGATCGCACCCACAGCCGCCACACCACCGGCCGCCAGGCCGGCCGTCAGCGACGTGTCGCCGCCCTCCACCTTCACGTCCGGCGCCGTCATGCTCACATCGCCGGAGGGAAGCTCACCACCGACGCCTCCTTCGACAGAGTGCATCTTGCCCGCCAGGTCCACGGAAGGCACCTTCGCGGAGCCAAGCGGCACGTCCATTTTCACCGAAGGCACGGACACGTCTCCGCTCACATCGGGCACCTTCAGAGAGCCAGAAACGTCCGGTACGGAGACATCAGTAGACACACCCGGCACGGACACGTCGCCGCTCACGTCCGGCATGTCAGGACCCTTGAGGCCACCTTCAGCGGTGGGAAGGTCAGCGGAGACGCCGCCCACTCCAGGGAGTTCGGCTTCTCCTGTTGTCCGAACAGAACGCGAGCAAGAAGTTGAGAGGGATGGCACCGTTCATTTTGAAGGCGATAAATACTCTCTGGAACACGCACGGTAAATTATAAGCACATCACCCAAAACAACCTCCAGAAATCGAGGTGCACACACCGTGCACATCAATACTTCACCCCTTTGCACATCGTTAGGGTTGCTAAACTCGCCGCACACATGCCTCCAATTTACCAAAGCGGCGTCCAAAATTGATGCCCGCTGTGGACGTTTTGGGTCAGCGCAAAAGTTCAACGCCACTGCCAAACGAACTTAGCGCTAGAGGGGAGCAAAGTGCCATCAGCACTTCCTTGACCGTGATTAATTTTTTTGTCGAAAAACGGCGAGAAAAAGTTCCCGCACAGCGTCAAAACTGCCATACGGCGGTGCAAGCATCTACACGGTAGGTTTCATCTTTTTTTCGGTGCATGTAGTGGAAACGGAACCAGCAAACACTCGCGAGACCGTTAGTCTCGTTCTCGTGAAACACGTCGAGACGGTGCGCCGGGTTATCTCATCATCAACACTTGACTGCTGCACACACTTCTCCCATCAACAACAATTCATCGGTATTTGGTATGTTCGTCCTTTATATTTGGACGAGCATTTACATCGGAGCATGGATGTATACAAAATACTGCATTCGACTATGCATACAAAACGTGTATCAGACCGTGTATACTGTCTTCGACTTCAATACGAAGTATATCAGACACACTGGTGTCGGCACGAGTTAAAATCTCGAAGCTCCGCTATCGAAGGGGTAAAAAATGCCGAACGATACGCGTTCGGAAAACTTTTGACGACCAAATTTCAACGCCGCCCTTTCGGCACCAGAACGGTTTCTCCCCTGGAGCAAAAGCTGTGGAAACTACCAGTAGTGCGTCTGACTACCCTCTGGTAAAATGTTTTTTTGAGAGGATGTCAGTTAACCTGCAAACCAGCGCTTCCCCTATCGCCCTCAAATCACCGCGGCAAATAATGGCTTCAGAGGGGAATTTGTCGCCAGTGACGGAACGTACACTAGTGTTTCCATGACATTTTTGATTACCCACTTAGACTTCTGAATCACGATAGTTTCCATGACATTTTTGATCAACCACTTAGGTTATAGACTTCTGAATCACGATAGTATTGCTCTTTCGCCTCGACAGACAAGTTTCTAACCCTAACCCTAACCCTCATCCTTTGTTTTTGTGGGCGTCCCAGTGCTTCTAGACATCGGTCAGTCCCAACAACAACAAACACATAAAATTCTTCGCGTCTTACCGCTGGGGACGTTGACGTCGACGCTTGGCGCAGAGACGTCAACATCGGCATCCGGCACCTGCGTCATGATCGTGGTGCATGCAAGCGGTTGCGCGCGAATGGGCAGTGTTTTGTAGGGTCATCTAGTCAAGAATCCGAGAGCAACTCGACTGCGCGCGCAGGCCACACAACGAAAAGAGTGTCTTCCGAGACCGTAGATACCAAACGGAGATTGCAGGTCTTGGTGGTTAAGAACAGTGACCACGCGTCCTCGTGAGGACGGAGCATTTGGGTAGGGGGAAGCGTGGAGTACAATGTTTTCCTTGCAAATGTTCTGACAACGGATACCGGCTAAGGGGGTTCTCGGGCGTATGCTGCACCCCGCATGGTGGTTAACAGCTACAACCAACCAAGACACCCTTCCGACTGTGAAGCGTTGTCTCGAACGGACACAATTTTTTCTGTAATTAACAGCTACAACCAACCAAGACATCCTTCCGACTGTTCAAGTGTTGTCTCGAACGGACACAATTTTTTCTGTAATTGTACGTAAATCTTCAAAAAAACACCACCAATACAAAGTATTCTCTTCTTCGACGCACCTCAACATCCGGCTTGTCGCCCGACAGGCCGACCGCGGCGCCGACGCCCGCCAGCGCCGCCGCGCCGCCGGCGGCGAGCCCCGCCGTCAAGGAGGCGTCGCCGCCCTCCACCTTCACGTCCGGCGCGTCCACCGACGCAGACGGCATGTCCACGTCCACAGACGTGGAAGGCATGTCTCCGCCCACCTCCGCCGTAGGCACATCTACGGAACCAGACGGCACCGACAGGGAGCCGGACACGTCGGGCGCGGGCACCTCGCCGGAAACCCCGGGCAGGGATCCGCTCACGTTGGGCAGCGACGCGTCTGCAGAGACGTCGGCATCCGGCACCTGGGGGAAAGGGTCGCGGAGGTGGTGGTGTCGATGGCCATACCCGGGTCGAAATCGCTGCACTTCATTCAAAGCGTGCATGGGGTTTGATGTCGGCAAAAACGACTCCGGCCGCGTTGGGATATACATTTTGTCGCTCTGTCTCTCTCTCTCTCTGTCTCTCTCTCTGTCTCTCTCTCTGTCTCTGTCTCTGTCTCTGTCTCTGTCTCTGTCTCTGTCTCTGTCTCTGTCTCTGTCTCTCTCACGAATCATTCCATATTTCTCCCTTCAAACAAAACTAGAGAACAAAACGAATGCTTCCGAGAGATGGTTGCAATCCGTCCCATACTCAACGATATCATACCCATCATCAGCACCTACTTGGAGAGTATGGAGGTGTCAAGAATCTTTGCGTTTCAGGAATCGGAATGTGGAGGGGGTAGGTGTCGGTCGACCGGCGGGAGTAGATTGTGAAAAACGACCGACGGCCTTTGTCCCGTCGTACCTCCGTGATTCCAAGTGATTGCATTACCGCGGCGCGTTGCGGGCTATGTACCAACGAAGCAACCGATCACGCTGTGGAGGAAAGTTGTCTTCACCGCTGCCAGATTTCGAGTGTCAATACTACCTTCACACAACACCAAGACGCAGGGTGTCCTCGCTGGTTTCGAGGAGCTCAAAACAGAACCAAACACTACCTGCACAGAAAAGGTGTGCGGGGGAACCGTTTGAGATACCTCGATCTTCCCCTTGCTGGAGCCGAACAGACCACCGAACAGACCCTTCTTGGGCTTCTGCACGTCGACCGAAGGCACGTCCGGGGCCTTCGCGCCCACGTCAGCCGAGAGGTCACCCGCCGACAGCAGGGAAGCGTCCACTCCTCCGGACGGAACTTCCACGGATGCGGACGGCAGCGACGCGTCCACCTCTGCAGAGGGAAGGTCTACCGATGCCGAGGAGAGAGAGGCGTCGGCGGCGACGGAGGGTACGTCCACGGAGGCGTCAACAGACGGGGCCTCTACCGAGACACCAGGCACCTCCACGGAGGCGTCTCCGCTGGGAACCTGCGTATTGGGGGACGCAGGTGCGAAAAAAAAACAGGGAGGGGGTTCGAACGGGTAGGAAAAATAACCGTTCGTTAAAATGCATGCCAGTGACGCGATTTTTCGACAATCGTTAACGTTTAGTCGTCGCGGCGGAACCAAAACGGCCACCAGCGGGGACTGTTACGCCCGTTTTCCGCGCACTTTCACTACCAGTAAAACGTTTCCAGTATATCTTCCACTCTAGCGCGGTGCCGGGTAAACCTCCTCATGGGAAGTCCATAAATCCCATGGAAAGCCTCAACTATGCCATGGAAAGCCCTCACATACCCACCCCGAAGAGCCCCCCCAAAACATGGAAAGTGATCCAGTACCTTGAGAAATTCCTGACATACCTCGGCGTCAGCCTTTCCGCTCCTGCCGTAGAGGCCTATCGCGCCGAGGGCGGCGGCGCCAACGGAGGCAGCCCCCGCCGTCAACTTTCCGGTCAAAGACCCGCCCTCCACCTTCACATCGGGGGCGTCGGGTCCCTTCACGGCTCCTGTAACATAAAGGGGCAAGATGGGAGAAAAACACCAACAAAAGAAAAAACACCGAGTCAGCACGTCTAGTTTATTATTAGAAAGTACTACACATGAAGCACAGAATGACTGCCCGTTCAAGAAATACCACAGCAGTCGAGAGGGGTGTGCTCGGAAGTCTTGTGCTCGAAGTCTTGCAAACGCTACAAGCAACCTCGTCGTCAACGGCGTCGTCAACGTGTGAACCATCCAACGAGGCTACCAAGGCCGTGACGGCGGATGTCGGGACTTGTCCTTCTCCGTCCTGCTGGTCACCGTACTCGTGTGTAGCTCGCGGAGCCATCGACACTCACCGGACGCATCGACAGAAGGCGCATCGACGGAGGTCGAATCGATAGACGCCGAAGGTAAGGACAAGTCCGCAGGTGGCAAGGTCCCGTCGCCGCCGACGGTAGGCATTTCAGCCGAAACGCCGCCCTCGATAGCTGAAAAGGGGGGAGGTTGCACGTTTGCGTAATTCGGAGCGTGTTGGAGTCCGGCCAGTGGCGCAAGCACCGCGGTACATGAGGAAGGCGCGGTGCGGAGAGAGAGGAAGATATGGCACAAGACAAACAAGACTGTAAACAGGCAGAAAAAGAAAGATTCGGGGTCAACATGGAAATTTCTGAAGGGTACTTACTCATAACAGGCACAAGACAGCGCTTTTCCATGCAACAACCCTCACCCAGCACAAAAGCCCAAACAGCAGTGCCACTCACAACCGCAAAATAACGTACACTCCATATATCTCCAGTCCAATCCCACTAAAAGGTATTTCAAATCATACGCGGGAGCGCGAAAAATCACCCCGCCCGTGTAAGCCCTGACTCACCGGGCACGGAGACATCGACAGCGGCGTCCACGTCGGCATCGGCATCGGCGAATTTCTGCGTTCATAATCATTACCGAAAACAACGGGCGCCAACACAGGCGAACGCGAGGAAAAAATCATCGCTTTTATGACGGGAGAGGTGTCGTGTCTGGCGCAAGTAAGAAAAGCGATCAAGAGGGGAGTGACCGTTGACACGCGAAGGGACGTGCGGCTACATGATGCATACGTACAGATCACGCGCACGCCAACGCAAACCGGTACTATTCCATACCGGCTTGCTGTGGGCATGGCTGACAAAACATGGAGGGGGGGGGGGGGGGGATCTTCTGTGCGTATCCCGAAGCCACGTGGATGGGCAACAGCAGATGGGGAGGGGAGGAGGGTGACTGTTGCGCAAATCTCGACGAAAAGCCCCGCGACACTATTTCTCGCGACATGGCCATCGCTATCAAAGGCTGTATGCACTCGGACCAGATGGGGGAACGAGCGCAGACTAACATGGGACAGACAACCGCAACGCCGAAGAATCAGTTCATGTACGTACCGAGTTCTTTCTGCCGAACAGGCCACCGAAGAACTTTCCGCTCTTCCTCTTGGCGCTGCTCAAAGCACCGGTGCGTGGTGAGGCCGCGCCTGAAACAGAAAAAAAGCGCACAAAGAGAAGGAGCTCAAGAAACGAGGCAGTGAAGAGGGTGCTCGTGCAACGACAACAAGAGGAATGATACTGAGCCAAAAGTCTTGAAACCGATTCTTAGCGCTGAAACGAAACTAACGAAAAAACAAGCAAGAGAAGCGTCATGCAGGGAGCAGCTGTATCAAAACGGAATCATGCCAAGCAAGATGTTCCGCTGATTTTTCAACGCTTTGGTGTGACCTAAACGAAACTTTGGCCGACAAAAGAAAAAAAATCGAAATTCTTGAGAGAATGTTATGTTCCCGACACAAAACTCACGCCCTACGCAACCTGCCAAAAAGCAAGCGCCGACAACCCGTTCAACCAACCCAGGAGAAACAACGACGCTCTGCAAGAAATAATTGGCCTCTGCGCACTGTCCACAACAAACGAAACTCACCCCCGACGTCCGCATCTCCGCTCGGAAGCGTCAACCCCCCCTCCACCTTAGGCGCGTCCACGCCGCCGCCGCCCTCGACCGACAAATCTACGGCGGGCGCGAGCACGTCCACGGCGGGCGCATCGACGGCGGGTACGGACGCGTCAGCCGCCGGGGCGGCCACCGCCGCCGCCTCCTCCCCCGGTCGGGGCCGGCCCTTCTTCTCCGGCTTGATGCCCTGGACGCCCCAGCCTGCGACCTGCGCGGCTTCCGCCACGGAGGCGGTGATCTTTCCGACCTTCCCCGGCGCGGGCGCCTCCCCCTCCGGGAGCTCCGCCGAGGGTTGGTCGTGGCGCTGGATGCCCGCCGTCTCGCGCATGCTGTCCGCGATGCTGTGCAGGATGCCGGACCCGGGGATGTGGTGTCCCTTCTCCCCCTCGACTGCACAGAGAGGGAGGAGGTACGAGACGGCGTTAGAACACGACGGGGAAAGACAGACCTGTCCGCGAGTGTTGGCGAGCAACACACACGGCGGTGGTGCAGCAGACACTGTTGCAATTGTTTTTGTTGCTTCGTCTTGACAGCGTAACAGCGCCACAGGCCCGTGGCTAGCACGACAGCTGTGCTCGACTCTCGAGAAAACGCCGTAGCCATCGGGGGCGTTCGCAACAGAACTTTCTACATAGAGACTGGAAGAGAGAGCTTCCAAACGTCCACGAACTGGTTGCGCTACGCAGCAGTCTTGAGCAAAGCACTGTCCGCACCTTTCGCCGTCGGCAATGCTGCACCGCCTTCTACCGAGGGCATCGAGCCCCCAACGCTGACGTCGCCACCTACTCCGGTCACCTCGGCACCCGGTGCCTGTGAAACCAAGCACCGCAAACAGTGTTTGCCCGATTGAGGCGCGGGGATGTCGAGTTCACGTTTACACCGAACGCAAGTCAGAGAGAGAGAGAACGCCCAAAATTTCGCTGGGGCAGTCATCGAAATGGAACAGGGCAGGAAGGCGGGGCTGGAGCGGGGTGTGCGCCCCAACGTACCATACACATGCTTCCAAAGGGGCGAACAAGAACAATCTTAGCAGAGTTATCTACCCAACGTCAAGCAGCGATCAATGTGGCGAGTCTCACGGATTAAGTGGGTCCATACGCGGGCAGGGCAAAACAACGAACCTTGGGATCTCTCATTTCCGGAACGTTCGCGTCCGCACCCGGGACGTCGACACTTCCCTGAAACGCAATTCATAAGGAAGGTATTGAAGGCACACGGGTGCCACAAGTCAGCAGCGAGCAGCGGCGCCAAAAATGCGGCGCACTCACAGGGACGATCAAGTTACCCATTGCCGACACGCCCACTTAAGTTTAACACAAACCTTCAGTTATATTGATCAAACAGACAATGGCGGGGGGAACCAAGGGTAGGTGGGTCGGGCGTGCGGGGTGGGGTGGGGTGGGGGGGGGGCGTTCGCGCGCGCGGGGGGCGGGGGGCGGGGGGCATCTCTTAATCCCATCCGCATGGGACAGCGAACGGCGTTCACCTCCACGTTAGGAGCCCCACCACCTTCCTTTTCAAGGGCAAAACTCGAGCCGCGGCCGAAACCTCCGGCTCCTTCCCGCCCTACAACCGGGCTCGGACCCTTGTGCTCTATCGCCGCCGCGAGTCGGCTGACGACCCCGCCGCTAGAAAAGCGTATACGGGGCTCGGGCGTCGTGCCCGCGTCTGCTTTCGGGGTCGAAATGCTCGCTACGTACGCGCTCGCGGCGGGCGATCGCGCGGCTAGGGTGTAGGGAGTGCCGCCGGAGCTAGGAGGGGCGGGCATCGCGGCTACTGCGCCCGCACCCGTCGCGTCAACCGCTTGCTTCGACTGCGGCAACGTCATGATCGGGGTTCCGTCTTGCGCGGAGACGGAGGCATTTGGGGCGGCGATCGCTGCGGAAGAGGAGCTGCCGAGCCCTGGCTTGTCGGCGCTTACCGAGGCACTAGTAGATGGCAAGCCGGTGGCGCCCCCGCTCATGGAGGGTACATCCACGCCGCCCCCGCTCATGGAGGGCACGTCCACGCCCCCAGAGGGCGCGTCTACGCCGCCCCCGCTCATGGAGGGCGCATCGACACCCCCGCTCATGGAGGGCGCATCCCCGCTCATGGAGGGTGTCTCGACTCCTTCGCTCATGGAAGGGGTGTTCACGGAGCCCCCTGCGATGGGGGGCTTTCCCGACATGTCGGCGGAGGCGTCGCCGGCGCTGGCGCTCCATTCCATGGGAGTCTTTCCCTCCGCGCCCTCGACCTTGACGGTGGCGGCGGCGTCAGGGTCGATGCTCGATGAGGGCGCGTACGAGGATGAGCCGCCCGTGGAGGCGAAGATCTCGCCGCTCTTTATGGCCGAGGAGTCGATCCTACCAGAGTCCCCGGCGGCCGAACCCGCCGCGCTGATGGTGGCCTCCGTGCTCAAACCTGAAGAGCGAAATACATACATCCAGACATTCGGCAAGGGAGAGGTGAGGTGGGGTGGGGGGTCCGCACACGGCGGTCAGGAAAGAGGGGTGTGTGCTCACAACCGTGCATGCCGTAGTCGTTAGACGAGTTGCCCAGCGACAAGGGGAGGAGGGGCAAGAAGAAGGGGGAATTACACACGTAATGTGCGAAGATTGGGTACGTACATACGAAGCAGAGACAGCCTAGAATAGTGCCACAACAGCAACGCGACAGCAGCAGAGGCCGCGCCGCCTCTCTCATGCCAGAATTAGTTCACCACCCCCGGCGCCTCTGCGCGCTGCTACCCGCGCTGGCGAGAGACACAAACGAGGAGCGACCGTCGGCATCAGCGGTAGCTCTAGGAAAAAAAGCGCAAGATAACGAGTGCGGTTGCACACAAAAGCATCCGGCTCAACACTCGGAACAGGCAGGCGCGACCAATGCACGAGGAGCAGAAGGAGCGTATGCATCGCCTACATACTTGCCCAACGGCCAGCTCGTTTGCGGAGCTCTCACAAAAGGCCGAGCTGACGTCACCGAGGTATCCATCCACACCGATGGTCTATAATAGCTCTTGGCAAAGCAGACACGGAATCAAGGACGTTTACGAGAATCCTCGAGGTAGATTTTCTTGCGCTCGAAGAAACTTTGCGCTTCAGTTCTTACAGAGACAGAAGAAACCTCATCTATATCCAGAGATAAAAAGGGGATACTCGTGACACGCATGACGGTGTAGTGTACCATGCGCGACGACACAGCGGCCACTAAAACGCCCGACATCCTCTGTCATCAAAACGGCCGACTACAACAACGCGGCCGTGCATGATCTAGAACACAATCATGTTGGAACTACTCTTCATGGAGTCCTTTCATACACGAAGCTTGCGCGCCAAAGGCGCGCTCGCGGCATCTCGCCTTCAGTTGGCACAAAAGCGAGAAATGCTTAAGGCTGTACTCGCCTACCTACTTGTTGCAACATTGGGACATTGGCGACACGGTACACTCAGTCGACATACGCGCCCACTCGATGCGGCAAGCGCGCGAAGCAACTTCCCGCGTGTTTAATAAAACGAAGACAAAACGAGGGTGGGCCGTCTCGCAGACAACGGCACAGAAAACTCCCGCAGATGAAGAATAGAGAAGGAGAGGGGGGGGGTCGACCAAGGCGCACGCACCTGCAGCCCCGCTGGGAGCCACGACGTTGACGTCCATCTTGCTCTCTTCGCCATGAGCCATCGCGGCAGCACCGCCTGCAGGGGTTTCTGGTCACACAACCACGGCAACCGAACCACACAGACGAGCGGAAAAGCAACGATGACCGCGTCCGAGAGAGAAGAAAATCGGAATGAAAAATGGGAACCTGTGATGGCGGCCGGTTCATTCCGGCTCAAGGAAGAAAGGAGCTTGGTTAAATGTTACGCGCCTCGAAAGAATATTCGGTTCCTCAAGACGTCAAAAATGCCCACACGGTCGGAATATGTTCCACGTGTTGCCCCTGTTCTGACTGGACCGCTTTCCAATCCAAGATCGCGCGCATCCTTGTTTTGTCTTTTTTTTCTCTACGCCAACAATGCATAGATGCGCCGTCTCTTCCTTGAACACAAGTCCGGATGGGGTTCTGAAGTGCACGCACCACGGGCGCTTGTGCATCCTTCTCGTAAAATATAGCATGGCATGAAATATTCTCAAGGGGTAAGGCCCGTAACACGGAGTTTCCCTGTGGACGATGTGGTGTCCAGCGGTTGGTTCTTTTGGTATCCAACGATCGTCTGCCAAACAACCTCGTACAAAGAGTATAACTGTTTTTGTTTTCGAATTCGGTGCTGTTGCCTTCATCACAATGGAGCCCTTCCGGCAAACCGAGACACGCCGATCCGTCCTACTTCAACACTTGTATGTGCTTATAACTCTGTACATGAACGGCAATCAGAACCGTTTTTCGACGAGATGGGAGGGAGGGCCGAACCGGTCAGCGGGACTCGTCACCAAAAGGCACTGTACATAGAAACCAAGGACCCCTGAACTGCGTACCTCTGAACTTGCACCGCAATTTCCACCACATAGAAACAACATCAATAGGCCCGAAAAGAACAAAGAAAGGTAGACCATCCTTTGGAGAAAACAAAGACCACTTGTCCACCGCAGTGGGGCCACATGTCGTTGTGCAAAAATCAATCAGAGAGTGTACGCAAACACGGGGTGGGTGGGGGGGGACTCACAACACTTCCACCACTTCGTGGAAGCCGAGGGGGAGGGCTGCTTCGAGACCCGAGACACTCAAAAATAACAAGTAATCAACTTTCAGGCCCATGTGTACACAAATACACCGGTGCTGCCGGGGGTCCTTAGATAACGCCTTGGCTTACCCGGCTTGTGCGCCGCCCCCGTCTCTATCTTGCCCGAAGTTCCGCCGCCGATCCAGTGGTAGTCGTGTGACCCATGCATGACCGGCTTGTCTCCTGCTGATCCCGCTTGGTGTCCACCTGTAGATGTATTATGGCGTAACGGGCAAGTGAGTGTATATACTCCCCCTGCAAAAATAGTAGGAAAATAAAACGTGGAGCCTACCAGGTACGTGGCATGTGCCTTGATCTTTGAGCCGCCCACAGAATGTGTGGGGAAAGGGCATGGCATTCTGTGCAAACCGATGGTGATCATAGGTTCGACTATTATAGTAGGGGTACAAGGATAGAATCCATGCGATGCTGTGTGTGGGAGCAATTGATGTAGGTACATGATTTCGTTATTTTGTGTCTGGCCTCGCGTACCGGGTGGGAGGTGGGAGGTGGGAGTGGGCTGTGATATCAATCTCCTTTCAGAATTTCCGTTGTCGCATACCGTTGCGTTTTATGGCTAAAAACATTTCATCGCGAGCGTGTTGGTTTTGTCTGGGCCCCCCTATGCATATATGTATCATCTACCATATGTTGTCATTTCTCCATTGTTGTTGTTCGGCGAATGGCCGAATGCATGGTATGTACCACCCTCTTTTGAGTAAAAGGCTGCCAGCTACCGACGGACGTCCGCCGCGACAGCAGTACGGATGTTGACAGGAAGTACTCAGCAAGCAAATTGAAGACAACAAAAGTTGAGCAAGTTGGCGGAGGAGAGCGACGCCGTCGGAGGTGACATGAACAGAGAGTCGATATTCACGGATATCCATGGGTTTCGGTTTCACGGAAGTTTAGTTTCAACATGTAGTAAATTTTCAACATTTCCACGAAGTGAACAAGAACAAAAGTACCACGGAATACCCGCGACCCGTTTCCAATGGTAACCAGCCAGCAGCCACAGAAAAAATCAAGAGAGGAGAGCCGGACGTGTCACACCTGTCACACAGAAAAGTGTCAACCCTTAGGGCAAGAACGCACCGCGGACCCACTCGTGAACTTCGTGCCAACCCAGCCTGGTAATAAGAACACCTCCTCTTCGTTTCCCATAATTTTTGTCGCTCTAGGAGCAATATCCCTCATCTGTGGTCGTTTTCTATTTACTATTTAAAGCAGTGACTCTCCCTCTCTTCCGAAAGCACTACAAGCAGACCTATTTGTGCCGGAAGTGCCATTTACGACGGCTCTATTTTGGCACCATCGCATCATGTGTGTTGTACGTTTATAGGTCTCGCCGGCGGCCCCGGCGGGAATTTGCACCAACACCACGCTGTGGCACGGCCGTAGCATCGAGGGGGACAAATTGAGAGTACCCACTTACAACCGCAATCATGGGGTATGTAGCAGACGCATGTGTCTGGTTTTCTTCTTCTTGGATACGGCAGTAAAAGAGGGGCCCGCGCACCAACAACACGACCCAAGAAACTGGAAGCATTTACTACTATTAATACTGTTACAGAGTTAACGTGCTGCGCAGGTGTACTGGAAGAAGACACATATTTTTGGTCTCCCCCCCCCCAAGCGGCTATCTCCCCTTTTTGCCTATCCCGGTGATGCGCCCCGAGCCACCCGCTCTCGAGTCTACACAGATGGCACCTTGCTTGCCCCCCTGCCTGCCAACGTGGCCGCAACAACAACAACGTTGCCTTGGCTTGTCGCAAGAAGCCAGAAATCCGGCCTCTGTCGGACAGCTGTTTCGACGGACAACACATATATCCAAAACAAAAAAATAAGAACACACCCAACACCCATTCGCGAATATTATCACCGTGTGTCGTTCACACATAAACAAAAGGAAAAACACACACACAGAACAATTCACAATTCGAAAATTGAACCTCGTTTGCTCAAGTACCGGTGGTTTCGGTCCAAGCACGACGCAACACATTGGCGGCGTTGTAAACGCACAATCGCATCCGCAGGCAGAGGCCACGACCGGAGTGCCATGTGAGGGAACTCCGGGAGCCGTCCGCATCCTCAACGGCGCCAGCGTGTCGCTACACGCGGCAACCTTTCGGTTGTTTGAAAAACGAAAGCTTCAAGGTTCTACTCTCTCGACACTTCGTGGAACACGCGCGCGCTCCTTTCCTCTCTTGCTGCTGTTGTTGACGCTGTGGACGTCACACACGATAAACGGGTACTACCGACGGGCACTCGATGGCAAGCCCACCAGCGTGGAAAGGACAACAGAATACATGATAGAGCCCTTCGCACAGCTCTCTGTGGAAGTGAATACCAGAGGTTACGCGTGGATGGACTCTTGAACCCATCCAATCTTTCACCGTTTGTCCCCAAAAACCCAAAGGACGATGTTTTCGAATGGCTCGCACCTTCGGGCAGGGGAACGGCAGAGCTCTCTCCATACGACGTCGTCGTCTGTCCCTCCGACGGTGCTCCACAGCACAGGTAAGGGTAGCATCCATTGCACAGGCAGCTACAAGGCTTTGGCTCCTGGCGCCTCGAGCTATCCCTCGATGGGGCGCACCCCATGATGGCTTTACAGGAAGAGGGACAGAAGGGAAAGAGATACCGGGTGTGAAAGAGTTTCGGTGTGGATTCGCCAGGGTATCTACCGCGACAGCGCAAAGCAGACAGCGCCCAAGCAGAGGTGACAGTAGGTCACCAGCACCTCGGCAGTCACCAACCAGTTCGAGGGAGCCACAGCGCTGTTCGCTAGCTGCAGATGGTAGAGAGGGTAGCCGTTCATGCTTGCCTCTGGGTCAAGAGCAGGCAAACAAACGCTCGCAGCAGGGTTGGGGCGCTCCACATAAACCAACGCATTTGCCGGTTCTGCTCTCCAGATACCACGTCCGAAAGCGTGTCTGGCTCCGTACACTCACAGAGTCGCCTGTAGGGTGTTACAGTAGTTGATTTTCGCTCTCGCTCCGCGCCGCTGGTTGAAGCTGCCGGCTGTGCTCCCTTGTTCAATGAAGTGCACCAACTGCACCGCCGAACTTTTTTTTTGATGTGGAGCCGCTTGCTCGCCTTGTTGAACTCCGCTTCGCATGTTTTTTCAAGGAAATTAGAGGGGTGCGGGGGTAGGGACGATGTTCTGCCGCTAAAAAAAAAATGATCTGCGAGTGAACGGTGCAAGAAGGCACTAAAAAGAAAAGTTGGCGTAGCAGATGGCGCAGATACGACTGCTGTAGATTATACAGACAGACAGACAGACAGACAGACAGACAGACAGACAGACATTGACACAGAGGTGTGAGGTCAGCAAAGGTGCGCGCGGGTGTTCGCTTTGAACTCATCGGCCCTGCACCCACGGAAGAAGGCACAGCAGTAGTAGAAAGTATTTTCTTCTGTGTAGATCCGTCACCGACCATGGAACGTCCCGCCGTCGCCAGTCAGTTTGGACCTGGTGGTGGTGCTGCGCAGAGGATCGAAACATCGGACGGAACTGTTCTTACAGTACAATGTTGGTGTTGATTCTGCTGACGACGAGCTTGGGCGTGAAACATCTGCAGCTCCTAGATTCAAAAACAACGTGAGAATCTTTGCACACGATTGTGATGCCCAATACCTTCAAAACTTTAACTTTCCCCAGCGACTGAACTGCTGTTGCTGTGTTGTTACATCCCTGTGTTACAAAACTCCAGCCTCGCCGGGCAGAAAACTTCCGTAAGTTTTTTGCGGTGGAGATTCTACACACACATTACATGTGCAAATTCCTTTGGTTTCGTGTTATTCTGCCAATAGTATTGTCACACTTATATTCATTCAATTGCCGAGTCAGTCGGAGACTGAAACTGCCAGGAGCCCCGACAGCGAAATCCTCATAAAATTAGTATCAAATTTGTTTTTCGTCGCCCATTTAAACCATCACTCACTAGTCTAAGCTTGTACGTACCCCACGAACTGTCCATGATAAAGCACAACAATATTCTTCTCAGCAGTACATGATTTTTTAGGGGAAGATGAACAAGGAGCTGCTCAAGAAACGTTCATTTACACTATTTAACTATCTGGCGATGTCGAGATTTCTTCGATCCTGCAGGCGGCTTCAAAATTTTCGTCGTCGTCAGTCTCTCACTACTTGTAATAAGGCAATAAGGCAAGGTACCGGCCAAGTAAAAAAAAAAAAAAACGACGCACCCTGAAAAGGCATGCCAATTATGGGCATGGATGCACGAAATTCAGGTGTCTTCCATTGGGTCTCGATAGTAGTTCTCATTCGCAGGAAGTTCTCCCCCGCCGGTAAAAGGAGTTCTTACAGAGGATTGTCAAGAAACAAGCCGCAAGCTTCCACGAAATACGCCTGGCGAAGCGGTCGGTGTGCCTTTCCGAAGAAACTACACAAAAACAAGACTGTGTACACATTTGTACAACTTTATTTTTGGTTCGTTGAGGGTCGCTGGGCTGTTCGAGCCAAAAGCACGCCAGTTGTGTGAGTGAGCTGTTCGAACTTCAGAAACGTCACTGATGGCAGCTGGCCGTTGATTCATACCAACACATGCTTTACCTGCATCTTGCATCACGCCTTGATGGCGCTACCACAAACGGCTTGATGGTGCGCCTTGTATTCTGTAACCATTTGTCAAATGGTCCGTGCTCCGCCGACCTTGGAGATATTTTTCACGGATCAATGCGATATCAATGACAAGAGTACAACAACTGAAACAACAACTAGGGCGAATGGTCGGCTAATGAGCGAGTGAATATGGCCAACAGCCCTCCCAACGACTGCCCATAACAACGATTGTGCCAGGGCATACGGCCAATCTTGATGAAACCCCACATCCAAAACTCTCAACCAATCAACTAGAGGTCGGCACAACCATGCGCCCAACCACCAGCGTAGTGCATGATGCCTGCTTTCCTGCTTGGCTGGATGAAAGCACGCTCTCCTCGGCTGACGCCAGGCCGCGTCATTGCTGACTACCGTCCTGGAACCGGGAGCAAATATCCGCCATCCTCTCTTGCGCCCGCTTGATGTCCGTGGGATCGAACACGCGAGGATCGAGACAGCTCCCCAGAGCTCTAGCAACCTCGGCACCGACGTCTCCGTTGTAGTTGTTGAGAAAGTTCTGAATCATACAGGTGAAGTGCTCGAACGTGGTGCCGTCGCCGGGTGGCAGCCGGAGCGACGCGTCGACCAGCACAACCCACTTGTTCGCCGGCTCCGTACGATCGATGCGCTGCCTGATGCCTTCGTGGCGATTGCTTGGCGGCGGCGCCCCCGGCCCCGGCCCCTGCGCGCCGACACCACCGCTCCCGCCGCCAGCACCCTGCTGCATCAGCACCGCGCCTATCGGCCCGCTGTTGGAGGCGGCGTAGGAGGAAGCGTTTGCCGCTCCTCCTCCTCCACCTGCGGCGCGAAGGGCGCCCCCCGCGGGCGGCGCCCGTTGTGGTTGCTGAACGACCACCTGCTGCCTCTTCGGCGGGAAACCGTCGTAAGCTTCGCCAGCCGCCACGCCACGGCGCGCGGCGTCCAACCCGACCCCCGTACCGTCCCTCGCCGGATTTCTCCCTTCGGGCAACGGCTGGACCCCCTGCGCCACCGCCGCCGCCGCCGACGCTGCCGGCTCCGTCGCTTGCTGCTGCATGGCCTGCATCTGCCGGAACTTCATCTTCTGCGTGTGCTTGGTCTGGGCGTCGGCCAGCTGGGTCAGGTTCGTCAGGTCCCGCTTGAGGGAGGACCTCGCGTGTGCCTGCGCCGCGAGATTGGCGGGGGCAGAGTCCGATCTCACGTCCAGGGTCTTCTGCAGCTCTTCCCAGCGGACGATCGCCGACGCGGTCTGCTGGAGCAGGACGGGCACGTTCACGTGGGTGAAGCCCGCCGGGGGCACGTAGTCGCTCAGCAGCGGGGACGGTCGCTGGTCCGCATCTCGCACCAGCGTCTGCGTAATGAAATTATTTTTCGTTTGCGTTGGTGGCACGGCCCGTTCGCGAGCACCGGGGGAGGGAGTAAACACACTTGTGCAGTTTACAGGGGAACGCCCGGCACTAACATGCTTGTGCAATGCGTTTACAGCCGTACACGGGCGGCCACGTTGCCCCCATAAACAAGGTATAGCATCCATGATAAAATGGACCGAGCCAAAAGGAAGTCAGTGGTCATGTATAATCGTACCAAGCCGGGACTGATCCCCGTTGCAACAAAAAGGAAGAAGGAACAACCAGAACATTCAAGCGGAGACGCTGAAAGTTGCAGCGGCAGTATACTTCTATGTCAGAGTTGCCAGAAAATTAGGTCTCTCCGATGTCAGAAAATCGCGGAAATTGTGACAGCAGTCAGACCGCCAAGCCAACGATACACTTATGCATATTAATTCATGTATCAATACCATACGCCAACAACCAAGATGTTAGTATAGATCAACGTAACTAACCCTTGCATGAATCGTACCTGTTGTTGTTGCTGTTGCGGGTTCTGCGGCAGTGGTTGTTTTGAAACCTCGTGATGACCCTGTGCTTGGTGCTGCGGCCAAGGCCGCTGCTGCTGCACGTGATGTCGCTGACGATGTTGTTGTTGCTGCTGCTGCTGTTGTGGTTGCTAACGCATTGTTCCCCAAAACGAGCAGACAGACAGCGACGTCGGGTTGTGTCAAGTTATGGCGGCTTGAACAACGGACCGGCAACTTTGTGCAGAAGGCGTTTCTCTTCGTTTCGCCACGCCCTCCATGGACCGACTAGTTTTTTTGAGTTGTTGGCGTGGTACACACGCATCCTAGATATCCTTGTACGGGTGTCGATAATCTTACCGAACTCTCAGCAAGGGTCGGGTTGTACGGGGATGAACGTTGCACCAAGCTCACCCAAGGGTTAGGTGCGGGTCGTACAAGGGTATCAATCCCTGCTTTACATTGGCATGTACTTCACCGAACCTTGTTGAGAATCCTACGTCTTCTTTGCGGGAGTGCGAAAGGGTTATCGAACAGCGAAGGAGTCAAGTTCCCAAGACACGGTTGTGACGAAGTACTTGCGGAAGACGACCGACCCTACTCAATATCGTCTATTGCTTTGGGCATCACTTCATCATCACTCCCCTGCTGCTAGAAACAGCACACGCGCACATGTGATGTGGTTGGGTTGGCGGAGGATCGAACCAGCCGGGGGGTAAGCACGTCAGTCGCAATCCATGTACATCGTGTACACGGAAGCGTCGAGTAAAGGGTACTACTGCTGTAGAGTCTGAGCTGCTTTTTCATTTGAAGTTTGAATTTCACACATGTGGACCAGACAAACATATTCACCTGCAGGGGTATATCCATGTCCATTCCTGCCGACAGGATCAGGCACTCTACAATAGCGACAGCGGCACGGTGGAGTGGGCAATGCAACGCTGCGGACCTGTTGGTGCAGTGTCACAGCCGCGGCCGAGTGGGTCCAGAGGGGGGCGCCGGCTGGGAGCGCAATGTGGAGGGTGTGCGGGGTTACACAGCAGGCAGGCAAAAGGCAAACAACACAAAACCGGCAGTTACAAACCGAGTGCCGCCTTTTTGAAAGTCTCGCCGACAAAAGTTCTGAACTTGCGGAACCCAGCAACCCAGCAAGCTCTCCCAGCAAGCAACAGCAACGGGCACGACAGTAGTATAATTCATGGGACGCATGTTGAGTGCCCTGTCACTCTTCCGGCTGGAAAAATTAGAGTTAAGCCTGTAAATGGCAGATACATTGCAGTACACGGTCCAGCAGCAGTCGGTGCAGGGAAGCCCTGGTCGGCGAAAATGTCGAAAAAAGGGTGGTGCGGCCAACAGGTTGAATCCCTTGACCTCTTCCTTAGGTTCCACTGTCGGCAATGGAACCGTGTCAGGGGCGGGAATTGTGCCCGGTGCAAGTGGTCGCCCTCGAAAGACATTCCACAAGCGAGACCTTGTTGAAGCTGTTCGGAAGATGGGGAGCTTACACGCTTCGGGCTCTAGAGTTGAGCTCGGCGAGGGGAGTACCGGGAGCGCGTCGAAGGACAAGGCCGGAAGAATAAAGAGATCGAACGCAAACAACGAAACGAAGGGCCAGCTTCGTGTTATGGAAACAGGCGTTGTGACCACCTCACGGCGGTACAACGATCTCAAGCTAAGAGCTGACCGAAAGGCCATAGAGCTGCAGAGTCTTCTGGACACGCTGACAATGATGAAGCTCGAGCACGACGCCCTGGAGAGAATGAAGATGCGCCAGACGCCGGAATCGGACCGAATAGGAACACTCAACATGGCCATTGAGGAAGCAACGGGGGAAATTCAGGGTAAACTACAGTACCGACGATTGCTGAATCATATGCTCCAGCGACTCGAGAGAAATAAGGTACTGTCCTACTATGCAACCTTGTAGACTATGTACAGAGTTCACCACGACTTGCTGTTATTTTGTCTGAGGCACCGTATTTTAGGTACTATGTTATTGTTAAACTTTTTGTCCTACGGTACATGATAGCGGTCGATTATGCCACTGCCTTCCATGTCCCGGCATGTCACATGGTGACTGACGGTTTGGGGCTCTCTTCTTCTTCCTTCCAATGCTGTTTGCTGGTGTTGATAATTCTGGGTCATTCACTGTTCTTCGAATTTTTATGAAATAGTACATGGGACCCTATTTGAAAAACGACTACACCGTAAGATAGCTTGTGATCACGGCAGGTGTCCGTGTAAGCTGGACATTTCGAATGTTAGAGGATACTGAGCAGAGAACAGTTAAACATGAGAACACGGTCGATTCTTTCCCGGAGAGCTGTACAGCTGGCGATATTTACTCAACTTGCGACAAAATCACAGCCCAACGTCACCATGGGGCTCTGCAGGTTAAATTTCACGCCCACCTCAATAGCATGGAGGAATCCCTGAACGCGACGAAGAGAGAAAAGACCGACGTGGAGTCACTCACGCGCCAACTGGAGACCGGCAGAACAAAGGCCACGCTAGAACTACAGGCAAGCCGATGATCTTCCGACCCTCCAATTGCCCCTATGCAAAATATGCTGATACGCCAGCTGCCATGGACAGGTACAAAGAGATACCACTACTGTCTCGGGGGTCGCAGCGTGTCTGCTGGATTTCTTAGTTTACAACGTAGCAGGTGCCAGTCGGGGGTAGGGGGGCGGGCGGGTGGGGTGGGGTGTGTGCTCATAGCGGTGCATGCCGTAGTCGTTAGATCATTGACCTCGCATCCCTACAAAGCCGGGACGGAGCACGCCGGGTTTTTATCGGACTAAGCTAGCAAATCAACAAACGCGAAGCGACTTGAGATATTCGGCGAGTCGCATGGAGGATGCGCTGTATCCTTGTAGGGGTATTCGGCATCTTGTGTTTATTTCCTTGCATACGGATGGCAGTTGGGAGGATGCCTTAGTCTTTCTGTCCTATCGATGTCACATCCCGCCTCTTCAACCCACTTCCTATGCCCCAGTACGGCTACCGTCTTCTCCTGGCTGTTCCGTGCCTCAAACGTCTCTCTGTACCTTCCTTCTACTGTTCCCAGCTCGGCCATGTACAATTCCCTCTGCTTCTTGTACAACGGACATTCCGCAACTACATGAACCCGGTCTTCGAACTCGGAGCCGCATTCGCATTAGAATCTATCGTCTTCATTGTCCGCCTTCCTGCATCTTCGTCCACGTTCTCGAGGGCCAATGTCTCCGGTCCAATATTCACCTACAGCTTTGTCCCTGCATCCATTGGCCCATACAAGTACTCCTCGAACCCTATTCCTTCTTTCAACATTCCGAAGACTTTCAGACCCTCTTTATCCTTGCTTTCTTTTGGTTAGATTATGTTATCTCTCTCGGCAAAAGCAACAGACATCTTCTCCTTGAACCCCTGTCGACCTTCCGTTTCCAGCGTATCAACCTCGTCAATTTCGAACTCCTCCCATACGTCATCTACAACCTTGACCCACTCCGTAGCTTGTCTACCCGTCTTCTTGTTTGCCCACTTTGCCTCCCAAAATACTCTCGGCAATCTCTCCTCTCCCATACCGTACATGCGGTACTGCCATGTCAGCTTCCTTGCGTATCTTCCCGATCGTAGGGATTGGATCCCCAATTCTACCCTAACGGCTGTATTACTTGTGCGCTTGGAGCAGCCTAGGATGACTTTCGCTGCTTTCATCTGCGCCGCCTCGAGCTCTTTGACCACCTTAGTATTTCCTTCTCATGCTTCTCCGGCGTACTCTAGCGGTGGTGCGATTACGTTCTCAGACATTGTCATTTTAATGCGTGTATCGAGGTGCCGGGAGGGCGAGGGGGGGGCGTACTCATGGAAACGCATCCCGTAGTCAGTAGACCGTAGACCTCGGGCAGGGGGGGGGGGGGGGGGGGGG